GACAGGGTAAAATGGGATAATGGCAGTGAACGGTGGTCAGCATTACTATTACAAAACGAAATGTCTAAAGCGTGCAAATTGTTTACGTGACACTGCTACACACGCAGATAAATTGTTGCTACGCATTCCAGAATAACAAACGTTTTCTATTTTTCTTTACATATCGCTGATGTTACAAATTACGATTATTTTTATCCACCAGTGTGGATAACAGAAAATGGACGGCCATAATATAGACTCTTGTGGTTGTGTGAAATAAAAAAAACAAATATTTTCTTAATTCGTATGTGTGTGGCTGTAGCCCGTACCAGAATAATATTAAAAATTTGAGAAATAAAAGAAAAATGCCCGATAATATCGAGATTGAAAATTTTCGATGGCCATGTATCCAGCTCATCCATTAAACGGGCCTCGAATGGGGACAAAGTGCATTTATCGAGATCCGCTAGAAAGTGCTGCTATCGATCACGTCGCGCACTTTCTTTCTTACGACGATTACGTGCGGGGTTCAAGGAACCGCGGCGCGCATACAACGAGCCGCCGCCGCCGCCTTCACTTTTCTTTCGCTCTGGCTTGCGTACCTACATACGCACGCACGCACGCGCAACACGCGTGTACACATATCATTACCATTGAAGCGTATTCGGAAGCTGAGAGAATGTTCCCTCTTCCCAGCGATCGAGAACCGTGGTAAAATAAAAGAGGAGGAAGACCAGCGTAAACAATGATTCGAAGAACCGACAAAGATTACGATCTCGCTCGCGAAAACAAGGGAGAGAGGTGAACCAGTCGCGAAACAGAAGTCGCTTTAGGGATTGGATTTCAAGTGGGATGAACCTTCGAACTTGTACAGGATATTCCGAAATATGTAAATCCCGTGGAATACGGTATGCATCAAAAAGTTGACTTCAAAGTGAATCGAAACGAATGGTGGTACTGTCTCGAGCTCGTTAAGAATCGAATTTTTCATGATATTACAAACAATAGGATAGAAAAAATAGCAATACCTCTTTCAAGATTGTAATTAGGAAAAAAGTAGAGTTGTTGGAAAACAACATAACACGCTAATCTGTCGACCTCGTTTACCAAATCGGATGAAAATGAAACGACTTCTACCTTTCAAGTTGCGAGGATCATTCTGTATCTGATTCTCCAGTTCTACATATAATTGTAGTACCCCGTTTCGGAGCACCCTGTATAAGGAGGAATGTCGTTGATACACGATCGAACCAGAATCCAAACATTCATTAATTCCATCGTAAAAGCCTGTAATAAAAGTTGCCCGCGATCGGCAACAAAAGTCAGCGAGAGAGTACGTAGAGTTCCACAAAGGCGAAGGCACAAACGCACACACTGGCACAACCGGTGGAGTGACGTGAAACGTTTCTATAGACCCGCTTAAATACCGAAGGTAACGCCTCTTACTCATGTATAGAATGTACGGGGCACTTGTAGACGGGCCGCGTACGTGTTGGTACATTAATCGTCGAACCCTAGGCCGCCGAGGTTTCGATTTCTACCAAGGAATCCACCGGTGGCTCTCGAATATAGGTTCGAGCTTTTCCACGCGATGTTACCGGCGAGATACGCGTGTATACACACGCGACACACCAGTTACCGAGAGAGAAAGAGAGAAAAAGAGAGACAATCGGGAACCGACGCGACTCCGACGACAATCGAACGAACCGTGCGAACCAGCATTCACGGGAGCAAATCCGACTAAATATTGTTCCCTGGTCATCGATCCTGGCACTCAACTCGCTAGCGAAATTCTATTCGAATTTCGAAAGCTAAAAGAACCGCGTTACGGAACGTTCCGAGACGCGTACACACACTGTCGCTCTGTTCAAACAATTTCTCGGTTTAAAGAGACGACTCACGTATCAGGGTTCACGAAAGTATGTTTTCAACGGAAAATAAGAGGGACAGTGTTTGCTGTAGAACTCATGAAATATGACTGCTGAATCGTATAATCGAAGCCCTCTCGACCACGATGTTGCCAATAGGCTATTAGGATATTGCTAATGATGATGAACCCAAACAGGAATATTTTGTTGTGATTAAGGTCAGATTTCACAATAGTCTGACCAGACTGAAACTCGCCTTCGAGCGGCTTTCGATTTCTTAAATGTTCCCTGGCAAGTCACGTATTTTCATTTGAATGCACAACAAAAAGACTATCGTTATAAGTTTTGGTTATAGGTCATTCGTGTTTTGGTTCATTCTCAATAGGAAAATCTCACTGATATCTATGGGTGAAATTTTCGTAAACTAGATGCTTCTGTCCCATCGGTAATCGATAAACCGAAATGTGTATGGCAGATGCTTGAAATACCGGCATCGCATGCAGCCTGTATTTCTGTGTCACTCATAAACACATACACATAGTCGATGGCAGACAATCCAAGATTTATACATTGTTAATTGTTCTCGCACAGACCCCCCGTAGTTGAGGGGTTTAAAGACAGTAAAGAACGATTTACTCACGGTGAGCTGCGTCTTGTCAGGTGCGATCGCCGTGATCTCGACTGGCCTTGGCTCCGGTGGATTCGCTCTGCTAAGAATGGCAGCTGGCATTTTCGCGACCAGGGATAACCTCCTGGTGAGCCGTCTGCCCAATTCCGCGCGTCGTCGCACCCTAACACGGGGACCGGTGCCTTTGTACCCTCCGAATTCCATTCTCACAGATGCAATCCTTCCTTCTTATCCCCTCGTGGTCATGGCGGCAAACGGTCACGTGTTCCGCGGGTTACCCGATTATAGCGCGACGAATGGTCATCGACAAATTACGGAACCACACACGCTCGACATTCGTAAAACCGCGGGGCGAGACCATATCTTTTGTTCACTTCCAACCTTGATTCGCGTGGTACGTTTGTTCAACGAGAACAGACGCATTATTCGTGCATCGCCGGTGCACGCATGTGTGCACGAGTGTTTTCGTTCTTTTTTTGTTTGAAAATCCACAGCACGAGATGCGCGACCGTTAACGGTCGAACTTCGTGCGATCGAAATTCACCGAATCGATTCGCGTCGCAGTTCACTCTGGCGAAGGGGCGGGAACACGGTCCTTTTGACGATCCTTTCTGGAAACTGGGTCGTTGACGTAGGCCGTGTTATATTTTTTTTCTCGAATCCGTTCTAAAATTCTACGGATACTGGTTCCCGAGCAACGGTTGTCCCGCAGCGATAGGTTACACGCACGACGTAAACACTCGCTCGGATGCTGGAGGCACGGTCGCGCACACACTGGCACCACAGGCAGCCCCCTCTGACAACCGGTGGTACATGTGCATCCTAGTCTCACGAATTACATACACCGGTGAACGAAGAAAGAGAGACGATGCACGCGGTGGCGCGTACACACTACACATATATATGCACACACGCAGGAAAGAGGATTTGATTCCGTGCACACGAAAAACGAGGCAGGAGGTGTGGAAAAGAGAGCGGCCGGTTCTTGCTGGCGCTCGGTTTGCCTGGCGCGCTTCGACTGAAATTGAATCGCAGCAAACCTCCTACCACGCGGCCCGTCACACTGCCGGCCTTCCTAACCGCCACGCCGCGCCTTCTCGTCACTCTCGTCTCCACGGTTATCCCGCTTATGAACGAAATTCAACGTAAACAAAACGCGTTTCGAAACGGGATCGGACCTCGCGCACTCAACCACCGCCGAACACACCCATGCAACTGACGATATCCCGCGCAATTATGACTCGGTCAAAATCCACCACGGGGGTTCGACCAATCAGCGCCCCCGTATTACGCGGCGGTATTCCCTCGACCAATTAGGAGACAATGTTTATCGATGGATCGTCGATGATGCTTCCGGTTCGTACTGCATTACATTTTTGATTTCCTGTTTCCTTTTTGGTCGAATATCGAATTGTAAGTCGATGTTCTAGATACTCTCGACGTAGCTTCATTTTGATTGTTCTATCGATTACTCGGTTATCGTTCGTGTACGAGGTATAATTATAGGTTAATTTGATTTTAATGAAATTCGAAATGCTGAACAATACCTACGACATAGTTTCTCTTAATTAGCTTCGACCGATCGAGATAGGAACAGTGAAATTTTCGAAAGTCAGTGTTTCTCGAAAGGCGATGTAACTGTCGATTGCGAGCAGATCAATTGCAAAACATCTTGGTATATGTTAGTTACAAGGCGCGCGCACGCAGACAAATCAATATCGATTAATTAGTGTGGATCGATATACAGAGTGTTCCAAAATAGTAGAAGCAATTTTAATACGCAGTTTACCATAACTTGACTACGCTAAGCTATTCCTATCGAGATGCAATCTGTTCGATAGTATGAAGTCTGAATAGGCGTCACAAATGCGTTCGTAGTTGACTCGTGAGATAATAAAAAAAAAACAATCGGTATCAATTGGCACGATTAGCATGTATTTACGCTTGTTGTGATCACGGACGATCGAACGACGCATAGTCCCCGCTACCGTGTGGTCTTGATTGTGGTAAATAAATTCTTCGATCTATAAATAACGGAAGCCTATTAGAAAGTTAATTTCTGGGCACGTCGCGCCAAGTAACCTAACGCGTTATGCAATATGCTTATACAATTCACGGTTAACTGGATTTTTAAATCCCCTATCGTCCGTGAAGATATTGCACGGATCCCACGTAACCGTGAACTTGTCTGTTACATCTAAACGACATAAATTTATGAAGAAAAAAAATATGTATATACATATATATTTATATATGCCTATGCTAAACCAATCAGTAGAAGTGAAATAACGGAATACGTTTAACTTCGTTAATCTATCGTAAATACAAGTTCACTCGATTGAAGGTGGAATACATCGACACGAAGTGAAACGCAATTCGTATGCATTTCTATAAAATCGAACGAAACGAATGGAAATCGTGACAATCGTATCCTCTAACTTTTAAGTCATCTCTAACCCCCCCCCCCTTCTTCTCGACAGCTAAATTCCTCCGAAGCGGCCACGAAAAGTACGGACACGACGACCATGAAATCCAACGTGACATTGCACGACAGGCTTATTAAGCAGAACGAGATTAACCGTCAGAGGTTGGCGCGAGAACTCGTGAAACTGGAGAAGGTGGAAAAGTCGGATCTCAGGATGATAGAGACAGAGAGGCACCGGTTTCGTTCGCGTCACAAGAACCTGGAATCGAGGCAACCGTCCACCGGATCGAACGTAAGATTGCGAAATCCCGCGAAAAGGCAACGGTGAGATTTGATTTCCGTTACGTTTCCTTTTCGTTTCGTGTATCCGACGATACACCGAGACGTGCAACACCTAATCTTCCAATCTGATTGCGGACACAGTAATTGACGCGCAGGCTATTAACGTGCGCATGTACGATACACACAATCCGGGGTTTTGCTACCATTGTACGGGTGCCATAAAAGAATGCGGTATAACATCGAAAGAAAAGACGTCCAAAGATTCCTACGACTTCGTGCACTCGATGATCTTCACTAACAGTGAAGTCGATCCTCTTAAAGTTCTTTGCCTGCATCTGCTGACTGCTCACACCACCAAATGGAACAATAACGACAGTTCTACCGTCAGACCTGTGACGCCTTTACTGGAAAAAGGTAGGTACGGTTCTCCTAGAACAGCGAAAAATCTGCTTGTAACTAACCCAAATGATCGTATAAAGCTAAACAGAAACGGTTCTCTGGCGCATGGAACAACAGTCTACCTTGTTACGTGGTAGACACGGAAGACGCTTCAACGATCGGAAACGTGAAACTACACGAAGATCCTCGAAAAAAGATTTTAGATGACCAGGCGATCCATGATTTCGAGGAGAGGTACAGGCAATACATGGAAAACAACGATGATCTCGGAAAGGTTTTATCGACCAACGTTAAAAATACCAAAAACACCCAGCAGGGCCTTCAGAAAATGCCAGCAATTTCGCCTCACGTCTATTCTTTGTTGGGCCCTTCTCACGAGCTGCGAATCAAACAAGCTCTAGCCGTAGGCATGTCTAGAAGAAAATTAGCTTGTTCGAGCATGGAACTGAACGGACTGGACGAAAATAGTTACTCGTTCCATCTCGACGATGACGATGATGCGTCGAGCGGAACGACCACCAACGAGTCAAACAGGAATTGGGTCACAAGGTCCACGCGTAGCCCATCGAGACGGTCCACGATCGGCTCGATGAAGCTGGATCATAGATTCACGATGTTAAAGTCGGGACGAAGTAATCCTACCGACTACATGACCCACAAATCAAAAAACTATGACACTCACAAAGATTTTACCGTACAATCGAGTTTGAGAACGATGAAAGATGTTTTCTCGATAACTTCGAGCACAAAGTCACCGTTTCGCGGTGTACTTGGAAGTCGTCCGTCGACCAGCAATTCTCTCCTCTCGGCGTCGATGAATCCCGATGCCATGAAGAACTTCAGAAAATGCATTTACCTGAACACATCGGCCAGACGCATCGGGCAACGGAAGGATTACACTATCGTGCCGATTCTTGTCAATTATCAGATTCAGGCGTTGGTGCAGACCGTGCTCGACGTTCTGGAACGGGTGAATCCTGAAAAATTGAGAATCATCGTTGAGACTGCGCGAGACACGGAAGAGATAAGAAAAATGCTGTTGCGACCCGCGATGAAAAGTTTCGTGCAATCGTTAATCGGTCAGTCGTTGCTGTCTTCTCCGGAAAGCTATGTCGTTTCAGTCGCTGCGGTGGCGGACGAAATGGATTTTCGTTTCGAAGAGATTCTAGAAAAGGAAATAATCGCTCTGACTCTGGAAATGCCATCAGCTCCATGCCTGAACGCTCTAATCGCCGAGATACGAAATAACATATTCCGCGGTACAAAAAAGAAGACGCAACTAAATGAGAATACCGAGGAAATCTCTTCTGCCCCCGTTAAACAAAAAGTTGAAAATGAGGACACAGCAAAAAATACCTTGAACGCGATGCAAACAGTCGACAAGTAAGTGGAGAGTATTCCTTCCTTGAGAAGTCAGTCGTTCGATTTACAAATCGCGCTTTATCAATGGCCGCCGAGTCGTGAATTATTCTTACAAATTTTATTGTATCCTTTAGGCCCGGAGTGTGCTTCACGTGCCATGAAAATTCGCCCATTGCGGATGAAGATAAGAAAGATCATTCGGAAATGCATAGCAACGTCGAGAAACCAATGAAACGTATGAACTATGAAAGAGGAGTGTTCTCGAAAGAAAATGACACGATACAATCGAAAGTGAACATCGGTAAGCAAACTACTAAAAGGTTGTGATTGACAACCAACTCGAATTTTTTTCTAATGAACTGATAAAGGAGTTGACCAGCCGGGAATGTCCAACGAAGATAATATTGCGGAAACGCCGTCTGGAGACAGCCTGAAGATAAACTCATTGACGAAGACCGACGAGCATCGGATATCTTCAGGAAACGTTTTCATTAAACGTACCGCGAATGCCAAAGTGAGTTTTTCGCAATAAGGAGAGGAAAAAAGGATTATTGCATCGGGCATGAATGCGTTTGAAACTCTGTGAAATATTCAGAGGGAAAAGATCTGATAACGAATATTTTTCCTATTCCGTGGTGGTTTACAGAGTTGGAAAGCTGCCCAGGATCTTGGTCATTTAGACGCAGATCATGTAATATTGCGAAGAATGACGAACACTCAGAGAATTTTAGTAGGGCAGATGTGTGCCTCTCTTAAGAGCAAAAGAATTAATAATCAAGGTTTAATAGTGTTTAATTAACGTCCCCGCCGTCTCCATAATTCGCGATATTCATGAATATCGTCCGATTTTTACGCAGGTTTAATTAACGAAAGCGTCCCGCTAGCGGCATTAATTACTCCAGCTTTATCGCGAGATAGCATTAAAGTTTTAACACGCGGTACAGTGTATTCGAAAGCGGACAACGTAATTAAAGAACAAGAAGAAACGGAAGAGAATGTTGTAATACCGGATAAAATAACCGGCCCTCTGCTCGCCAAGGTCAACGATCGGGATCATTAATTTTTTCATTTCAATTACAGTACCATTCGAACGAAACAGCTTATTGTCTTTTTCCTCTTTTAGATACGGCAAGATGTCGCAGAGAATGAGACGAAACGACGATTAAAGCGCTTCCTAAATTACGAAGGGATCGAAAAGAAATTATAAATTAAAAATAAATTCGTAACTGCGTTAAGGACATCCAATAAAAAAGAAACATTTTTATCCACGAGACTGCATAAGAACTTATTGACGACTAGTAAAGTCGGTATCTATACGTTGTTCCGAGTGTTGTGGGTAGAGTGCGCTGGGAATTCATTGCGCAATTCGAGGCATACATTTAAAAATACAATAAATTAAAGAATTAATATTTGAATTCAGTTTTATTACTATCTATAAGTATATATGGTAAATATTTACTATACTTTCGTATGTTATAAATAAAATAACAGAATTATACATAGTATATTGTAAAACTCGGTACGAATCAGTAAAGAACCATGTCAGGATGTAGGTCAAATCTAATTTAATTAATAAAATAATGAGATACAATACTAAATAATATAAAATCAATATTCATGAGATAGGTTGCTTTTTGATGCATGTTAAAATAATTGGAATAATAAGGCAGTGTAAAAATACGATTGAATATGAGCAGTTTGGTGATGATCGTCGCGCAGCCGCAGCTGTAGTACTGCATAGGCGTAAAATAGGAAATTAGCAGTTCTAAACCTGGAGCGACTTTACGGCAATACGTGTCCCGTTAAATCCAGTGATTTTATTGAAGTGAAAGATCATGAAAGATTAAAATCTGATCGAAGCAGAACACTTAGCGATAGTTGTCTACAGAAACACCGAGAAGAACGACGGAGAAATAATTCGTTGCATCGAGACATGTTCGTTGATGAGGGAAAAACACACCAGATGCATTGCAGAGTTCGTACAAGATGTCTGTGTTGAAAAATTCTTACGCGCACCGAAACACATGTTCACATGTTATTCGAAACAATACGACGTTCATTTTAACGCGTGAACCTTAACGCAACGAGAAAATTAATTTCAAATAGGATGAACGATATGCACAGATGCTATACGTAATTCTTTCCCAAACAACCTCATTTCGAAGCACGTAATAAAGCCTCTACAACAAAGAGTATACCAGCGTAGAATCAACGCTTTTCTAGAAACTGTCGGTGCATTGTCAATAACTGGCAAAAATGTATCAGTTCAAGCCGTTTGTATTCAAGAAACACAAAGTAAACAGCCTTGAACGTCCGAAAGCCAGAAGTGGCCACAGAATAGTTTGCAATCAGAAGTATTTGTATTCTTATGGTGGTTTTAACCCAGGCATTTCCGACAGTGATCCTGACATGCAAAATGATCAAGCATGGATCTCCAGTAAACCACTTTTCAAGGAACTATGGAAGTTCAACCTTGTTACTCAACAATGGAGCCGTCTACCTGAGCAAGATAATATGCCTAATGAACTAGCATCAAATGCTGTCATTTTAAGGGGCAATACGTTAATAGTTTATGGTGGGACTGGTGTACCATTTGGAGACAGCTGTAGCAATAGTCTTTATTTGTGTCATCTAGAAGTCGGTAAAATGTATGTAGTTCTTGCAAAGGGTGATCTACCAGATCCTCAATATGGACAAGCTGTAATATGTCATGGACTTTATTTGTATACTGTTGGGGGTACTACAGGATATGAATATACTTGTGATATTCATAGATTTAATCTGAAGACTTGTGTTTGGGAAAAAGTTTATATATGTTCTGGAAGCGATCAGAACGAACCCCCAGGAAGATATAGACACGAATTAGCATTTGATGGAAAGCTTATTTATGTTTTAGGTGGAGGAACGTCTATAGAAGCATTTGGTTTTTCAGTATGTAGAACAGTTGCTTTTTCATTTAAAGCTGTGGCAACTTCATTATTACTTTGTATTTGTCTTTAGGAAATTCCTGCTTTTGACCTTGAAATGAATAAGTGGATAGTATTAAATACATACGGAGACAATGTGGACAATACGGTGCCAGAACCTAGACGTTGTCATGGTTCTGTACAATATACAGATGAAAAAACCGGTGTCACTTTTGTGGTAATTTCTGGAGGATATAACGAAGATCATGTTTTCTCTGATGTTTGGAGATTAGACTTGAGTCTACTGCAATGGACATGCTTAAGAAAATGTATACTACCATGTCCTGTATATTTTCATTCCGCAGCCCTCACACCAGAAGGACGAATGTATACATTTGGTGGCATAATTAAAGAAGACAATAAGGTCATTAAAAGATCTTTGTATATTTAATTTTTAACATAAGAAAGATCTCTAACACTATGAAATATTATGCTGCAGGTTGCAAGAACAGATGCTGTTCATTCTGTTTGGCTAAAGATCCCTAAGTTATCAGAAATATGTTGGCAAGCACTGATTCATTATTTTCCACATTTATGCCGTAAGTCACAACATCAACTACTTCTAACAGGTGTACCTTTAAAATTTGTGCAGAGAATTGATTTTCCTAGCTTTTAGTACATACGCTATTTACAAAACATTAGACACCACTCATTGTTACCAATTATTTATTGTATGAATATCATAATTGTTGAACATTATTGTCACAGCGTGTTTATAATACTTTTTTGTTTTTAAAAACATACATAATATATTGGGCAACTAATGTGATCAAGATTATGAGCGAATCACTGTTTTAATATTTATTTTTTTTTTAATGTTATCATATATTTTGTTTTATATTTTACATAGAAATATATCGGGAACATTACTTTTCTGTCATTGTCATTTAAATTAAATCTTCTGATGAGAGAACAAAATGAAATATTTAGAAAATTATATTCCATATTATATAAAGTTAGCAAATATGCTCACCAATTTATATCATGCATTGAATAATGTTTACTACAATTATAACTATACTAGCGTGCATAAGTTTCTTCTTTATACACATTATAAAACTTTCGTTATTAAGGTTTATTTTGTCTCTGTACATATACATAGATGTAAATAAGCAATAACATAATGATACCAGACAAAATTAGTTGCACACTAAATTATAGTATATCTTGAATTGAAATGAAAAAGTAAAAGATTTATAAAAGGAACATCGAAAATTACTGATTTATTCGAACTATAGCGTATCTTTAATCTAACATTGAAGGATAGACTTACGTAGTGTGACATTATGTTAACAGTTAAATGATGTGTAATTATTTTCTTTCAAAAACTGCGCAAAATCGGTGAATCGCTTTTCTGTTTTAGAAATAAGTACTTGCTTTTTTACAAAGACATACTTATACAAGTTGATGTAATTTACGATTGTTACAAGTGAATTATAGTTTCAATATTATCGTCGGTATGGAATTAATACAAAAATTTTATACTCGTAGTTAAAACTCTTAATCAATTTGTTGGGTATAAAATATTTACTGTACAAATTATTCTTAAAGACTCTTAAATCTAGGCGATATATAAAATATATTTTTGCAGTAGAAAATTGTGCACTAATTTAAAATCGTATTTACTAAAATGTGAGATCTATAGAAGTTTTATGTTCTGTTAAACTGATCGACAGAAAACTTAGTCCAATCTGGATCTTTTTTAGAACGACATTATTGATGAAGGTTTATCATTCATATTGTATAATGCATTATTTTTTAAATAACAGCGAACTGGCTTGTGAATGTAAACACCAGAATAGCAGGTATCAGTAAGAACTTCAAATGCTAATTCGGTCACTGCTCGTCACCTCACGTTTAATCTTCTTTGCAATATTGCAAGCCAAGTATCGAGTGTAAATACATGGCTAGTTGCGTTCTGTATAATATTCAAATGTTCATGATACCTATTCTTGTAAATACCAGATTGACTAAAGTATGTACAAGCGGCGAATTCTGCATAAGGAACGATGTTCAGTCTTTCAGAAGAATATCAGTGATATTTCATCGAACGTTTTAAGTATAAGAAACGGCAGAATTTGATCGAGTGAACGGATTTAGCTTCAATGAAACAGCTTTAAATAAACGAAGGAAATGAATTTAATGGTATTCCTTCTTCTTCAGCACAAAATCTTACGAACTACACGATAAAACTGCCTTTCTCTGCATTCGCAGTTTCTTAAGCAAAACTTCATATCATACAAAGTTTATTGCGTACCAATTTCAGAGTACAAAATAGTTTAAACCATACTTTGTTAGTACGCAATGCAAGACACGTCTAATTGTTATTAGTAGGCACGGGCGTTATTTAAAAGAGACATCGGGGAACAATGTGCGGTTAAGAGAGAAAGCAGTTGAATTACGCGTGAAATTGTGCGGAATACAATGGGAACTCTTTGCCTTAAAGTTAGATAAACTAAAATGCATTCAAGTTTGTACGCGACGCATCAAGGGCACGCGCAACAATTCTGAATACTGTTTCACGAGTAAACGGGTCGATTCAGCGAAACCACGCGTATTGTACTCGAATAGATGTTAAGGGTGTTTCTCTTCTCATTGTTCTATTCTCGGTGCTATTTACTCTCTAAGATAGCGCGCCATAGGGTGCGTATTTGCGAAGGGAAATTGTAAATAGAGAATCGAATGCAATTCAGTCGATACTGATTTTTTCATTTCTTTGTATCACGATCACGTGAATTGTTGAAACTTACACGGACGATTGTTTATTAGAGATTGAACGCTTCGTCTTCGAATCTTTAATGTTCATTACGCAATGTGGAATAAGTATTTATACAGCAGTAATATGTTCTTTGAAAGCAGCACCCAGAGAATATAGTTTATTGGAAAACACGTCTTCACGAATGTAGCAATTGAAACGTTGTACACAGTCTACGACCACAGATTAAACGAACTTATCAAACGAAGAGGCTTTTCAGACAGCTGTGCAAAGGCTACATTGAAATCTAAATTGGCACATTAATGAAACAATTAAGATCTCATTTAGCGGTCTGGATGGTAATTCCACTTGTTGCCTTTATCGTATTTTACAATAACGGTGAAAATATTCTACAGTACTCACGTCATAATTTTCTTCGTTGTTTTTCTTCATGTACGATGTTTAATGCGATCTCACGCATTCGCATTTATCAAGAAGAGTCAGTGTGTCTGTACAGTACTGTTCATTAAATTTGACATTGGTACGTTTTTCAAGATTTCCGCTCCATTCGGTGACTATGTATGTATGTAAATGCGTAAACCTGAACAGTAGAAGAAAAATTCAAAATACTAGACGCTCTCGATGAAATCGAATACTTAAGACTAAAAAAAATATATATATATAATAAATGCGTATTTCTAAGACTAAATACTGCGAGTAGACTGATTATAAATGTGAATCGATGTTTGTACCTTTTCGTCGTATTCAAGCGGAAGAAAAATAAGCATAAAATTCTATGAGAATAAATTGTATGTTTTGCAGGAGATCGTTTATTGTTTTAATAAACTGTTACTTCATGTGTATTCATTTCTGTTTGAAATATAAATAAGAATGTTTTACTGTATTATAATCGTTGTACAAACGAAGAAAAGATAAAATTCTGCTATACCAAGTGCCTTTCCAATTATTGCTCACCTACTTGTATTCGAATTCTTTCTTGCGCAGGGCATATGTAATAAGGACGAAATATATAATAGGAATTTATTCTCAATTTATACTGAAAATTGTTATCAAGGTAAAAAGGTCAAACCATAGATGGGAGATTGCAGTTTACTTTTGGCCCGAGATATATAGTCATCACGTGTGAAAAACATTGTTCCAACATATGTGATGTTTTTCCAATAGTGTCTGGTTGGCTGTTGAATTTACCCAGATCGATAGTACGTATCGATAATTACCCGTTATTGTATTTTTAATTAACACATGACTTTTTAAAATAAAAAATTTATACATAAAAGAAAAAGAGTACATAAAATTGGCTGAAACGCTACTAGTTAGGTCGTTTTTCTGTAGATGGCAGTACAAGTCGCAGCAACCACGATTCCATCACGTACAGAACATTAAAATATAAATTCAAATACTACCACACTTACGATTGAATAATTATATACTGTCTGTAATTTAACACACACATCAACGGTCAAAATACAGTATATACTATTGAATAATATGGCATAAGGAAAAGTCCTCGTTTCGTCTCGTAATTTTCGAATTATCGATCTGATGAGGGGCAGGGGGGAAGTATTTTAACTGTGAAGTATACAACCAAAAAATGTCACTCGCAGTATGTTTCGTCCTTGTAAGCGAGAGATTATAAAAATTCATAAGTAGTGAGCTTTACTGGAAAAAGAATAAAGAAAATGCAATCCCCTAGTCACGAATCAGAAGTTACAAACTTTTTCTAACCGAACTCGATACATTAAACAAGATACATACCAAGTTTCATGTAATTCTTCGAATACTTTCGTAAGCAGCGCTCAAAGTTTTTCGTGCGTTTTCGTGTTGCGCATGATCGTCGCACAGAGGGAGCAGGAGCCTAACCCGATTAACCAAACCCGTGGATCGCTACCAATCGCTACTTCCCGGAGGCAGACGTCTGCTCTCAGTCCTGAGTGGCAGTTTACTGTCTTTCTGCATCGAGATATCATCGCTGCTTAATCCATTCCCATGTCTCCGACGTATCTGATCCCGCGACACCACGAAATGTACGGTGAAGTGTACATGTAGTATTCGTTGCAACCGTAGACACCATTCACGTGCCAGACGAACACCTTATATACATCCATCCATCGACATCGACTCGAATCACCTCGTGGACTCGCTTGACCAAAAAAAAAAAGGGGCTCTAAAACCGTTCATTCAACATGGAGCAGAAGCGCCTTTACAAAGTGGTGCTCACCGGAGGTAGGCGATCCTTCTTTTAAAAAATTCATTCGTTGTCACGTCCTGCTTATACCATAAGTCCCGTCCGAAAATCTCTCGTCTTTCGTTCAAACAAATGGACGCTTCCATGCTGTTTGGTTTATCCGACACACTCGGGATCGAAGTGCGTTCCTCGAAAGAGGTAATGCATTTCCCGTCCGCGGGCACCACGTGTTCGGGTAACATTTTTATGACCTTCTTATTCGATCCGCTACGTTTCATTATCATGTTCGTTTTTCATGTTCTTAAACGCGCCGAAAAATGTCACATATTTTTTTCCCTTTATTTTTTCGTTCCATCGACACATGCTGCCTCGGAAGCTCATTGCTCGTGCGAAAATATCGATTGAACTCTTGTGCAACGTGGTGAAAATGTGCTTTTCATGTTTCACTGGGAATTTGAATAGTTTTCAAGTACATTTGATGGTAATTTTGAATACGAAAGCAACTAGGCCGTATGAATGATTGAGAGACAACGGTCATGCGAATGCTTCATGTTTATATGTATGTACAGTCAAGCGTGTTCAAGCGTTTCAAAAAAATATCTATAAATTGTTTTTACTTGTGTCGACTGTAAGGTACGGACAACAACACTAACACGAGAGCAATTCTAAATGTTATTTAGAATGAAATACAACCAGTTCGCCGCATTGACAATACAGCGTGTGTCTAAATTTAATTCGACAAAAACGCACGTCCTGAGTCGGTTTACGTGGCACCGTGACAGCATATACCGGATAAAAAATTTATTTACTTGTTACGTACCCGCTATTACGCGTTCCGACCATTAACACGAGCCCACGTTAAAGATAAGTTAAATAACAGATAGGAAAAGCAATCCATTTTTAGAGACACCGCGAGGCACGTTGTTCGTTCGAAGCGTTGCTATCCTCACAATTTGTTATTTCAAATATAACGAACAATTCCCAATGAGCACGATCGTTGACAGATACAGAACGCGTCATCTAGAGTCGATTACCGATCATTATCGTCAATTTACCTCTCAGAAGTAAAATTGGTTCGTTTCTTTTTTTTTTTTTTTAAATTCCTCAATTTTAGATTTTTCAATACATTTCTTTATATCCACTTCACGCTCTGTAATATTATATATTTAATAATTCACAACGTATCGCTTGCGGGTTTTATGTACGCATAATATATAAATAAATTACTGAAACAAGGTTCTGCTTCACTTTCAGTGTAATAAGAGAATGAATCAATTTACATAAGCATTTCAAGTTTGTTTATATGTATTCTTCGATTTAAATGTAAAGCTTAAAATTTAATCAATGTCTATAATACTATCCACCTTTTATGCTTTTTATTGTAACTGCCAACGCAGTTGATGAGTTTGGCGACCACAAGGCTCGATTATTAGCTGCTCTGTGAAAGAAAAAAATATCACTCTGACGAACAGTGTGATTCATTGCTCGATTTTGCTCGATCGCCTCGAGTCAAACTGATTCGCCGGTATATAAAACACGATTAACCTTTCCAATTGATCGACGCGGCACTCGGTTCGATGTGTTATATGTACACGGCCGACGCTCGTCCGTTTTCCATCGCGAACGTGTTATTTATCATTTGCTAGAATGTCTGATTCCCGTCGCGATAAAAGTAACATAAACAAAAAATGTATGGCGGTAGCAAGGTCGAGAAGATAGCTGTTTCGCGTTTAACGGCTACTAAATCTTGATCGATTGCAACGGAAAAATGCAATTGTCAATATCAGTCGCAGGACAGTATCACAGTTTCAACTTGTTCGAGGTTCAAACAGTTCTTAACAGTTGCTGCGCAGATAAACCTTATGAATATTTACGATGGAAAACAGTAAACTTTTCAATACATATCTCTACCACTTATCAAGTTGCAGTAGATCTATTAGAGTCATCCCCACTACTCTGGTTTATTCCACGGTTTAGTGTTCCACACAACGGTCCCGATCTACCTTCCTCCCCGTATTAACCCCTCGAACACTTCGAGCCGTACATGTCCAATAAATGGCGTTTCTATGAAATATAAACGTACGAGTACGGAATATTCGAAAGAATATAGCTCAGGCGAGCGATGGTAAAGGGTGTCTCAGCAAGAACTTGAATTTCGAATCGCGCGCCATTTTCGTCTGTCAAATGGTGAGTCAGTCATATTTGGCGGTTTTTTAGTTAACACATTGACATTTACGAAAATGACGCGTTACACATTGGAAGAACATTTGTTAATAATGAAAACCCATTACAAATATTACAAACGTTGTCGCAAACCAAGTCTCCAGGTCGTGTCATCTCTCGTCTTGGAGACCAAAACTGGCCGCCAAGAAGTTGCGATTTAACCTGTTTGGATTATTTCCTCTGGGGCTTTTTGAAAAGTAAGGTCTATGCAAACCACCCCTGAGACAATTCAAAGATTCAAAGAATAAATTGAACGATAAATTCGTAAAATCCACCGGTCCTTACTCCAAAACGTAACGAAATTGCGTCCAAAGAATATATACCTGCCACCAGGCCAACGGTGGCCATTTACATGACATTAAGTCATTAATAACTCTGAAGATATCAATAATAAAATGTAAAAAAAAAACAATTAAATTAATGAGTTTTTCAATTTATTTAAAATTCAAGTTCTTGCTGAGACACCCTTTAGAACGTGGGTGGTTAACACGTCCCTTATCACAATGAACGCGTTAAAAGACGGTAGACCTCCATTTTTGGAGTTACCTTACCACGGTGACTTCATTTTCAAGCCCCTGCTTTTTTTTCCTTTTTATCGATCTCAAGACAAAAAAAAATATATTCGACACTGTGTGTGTTCGTGTATTACACGACAGACCATGTCGTTTCGTACCGACGAGATCGGGTTCGTGTCCAGTTCGCAACAATTCAAACCAGTTACGAGTCAATGAGCGTGTACAGAGCTGGCCAGGCGACGCGAAGTGTATTAGTGCGTCTCGAACGCGTCTTGCCTTGGAAAACGCGTTTCCATCGGCGAGGAGCCGCTCGTTTCTTTCGTCTGGCGGCATTGTTCACGAGTGTGTTGGACGCTTGAAAAGAAGCGGGAACGGCCGAACGTGTTCAATGTTAACCGTTGGACACAAACGGCTTCTTACCGTGCGGTTGAAAATCGTCGAAGGGACATAACAGATCGGTACCGCAAATAGCTTGGGAACCGAGAAATCTAATTAGGCAATTTGTTAGAAATGCAATTGGAAGTCTTAGCCAACGCGGTGGCGAAGTCGGAGGGGTAGCTTGTATGACTTGAGGTTCTTGAATCTTTATCCACTCTTTTATAATCCGTTCGCTTATACAATAGCCAACTGTATCGGTTGACTGCCAAGTCCAGTGTTTGTACGTCTTACACGATGCGTGTGTATACGATCGTAAAATTTTCTGTAATATCGTTGTATGTAAATTATTATCTTAAACGTTTTCTTCGTCGAGGAATACCGATGTTACAGTATTAATAACATTGAAAATCGTCCAAATACCGGCCTGTATATCTGATGTGAATGGATTCAATTGTAAAATTACCCATCGATGCTCCATTCCTACGGTAGCATTGTCGAATCGAAGAACTGCTAATCTAGGGGTGACTTTCACGGACCAGTCAACGCGTTAGAAGGCTTCGTTGAATCTACGACGAAGTCCGTGAAGTAGAGACAGAAGGTATTAAAAATGAATCGAAGCGTGTCGATAGAGAATCGACCATCGCGGGTGGAGGTTTCCTACGATGGAAAAACTGTTTCGTCAATTCTATTTACGCTATGGCCGGAGTTCAATAGCCACGTGGGTATCGCGAAAGTCAAGGTCAGCGACGTCGTAACCTTCCCCGTCCTGCTTTCGTACGGCAAGGATAATGCGTAGCCACGACTGGCGAAATCGCCTTTTTAATTCACCTTCGGTGTCGTTTGGTTCCCTCGAAATAGAACGAAAAAGATTGCGCGTGTGTGTGTGATTTCCTTCGTTTCACTTGGGTACACGCGTGTACCGTTTACGATAAAGAGAAAAATCACCGGCGGAGGACAAAAACGGACCGATGACTAAACCGTTTATATTTTTGTGTTTCAGGACCTTGCGGCGGCAAAACGACTGGGCAGACACGGCTGTGCACGTTCTTCGAGAACATGGGATGGAAGGTAGGCACGCTCCATTCCTTGCACTCCGTTTCCGCAATTGAAAACAAACGACAAGTAAATGAAACGAAAAGATAAACGATGAAAAGAGACTCGCCACCGCGGAAGATAAATGGTCCCGTGTGTTTTCCCCGAGGACCGCGCGGATCGACAAACAAAACCCGTCTCTTCGACGGGAACGATTCAAACTCGAGAACGCCACCCCCAAAGAATTCGAAAAGATATCCCTGATCGATTAGAAGATCCGTCGGGTAATCGATCAGGATGTGTTCCGGTATCTCTCGATCAGCCCCTTCCGGTGCGTCCTTGCGGACCACTTCGAAGCAAAAGTAGAATCTCTGTTGCTTTTTCCAACGCGCCAACATTCCCCGATACAACACTCGATTACCTAAACGCACCGGTAACGAACAAAAATAATGCACACAGTTTACCTGGTCGCCACTCCCCGGGCGCTTAATATTCAATCTTTTGCACATGTATATCGGGGGATCGCGTATGTAAAAGTGGGAACGTGTGTGCCGAACCCAGCGAGTCTGTCCGTGAAATCTAAAATAAGAGCCCACACGAAAACGAAAGAGAGAGATAATAAAAAAAAAAAAAAAAAAAAAAAAAAAAAAAAAAAAGAGAGAATTTTGAGAAACTGGTTTTGGGGTTTATCACCCTTCCGTTGTGGATTCGATAGAGCGCTGGTTGTCTTCTTTTTCAGGTGTTCCGTGTTCCCGAGACAGCGACCGTGCTGCTCAGGTATGCAATCACACACGATCACAAATTTACCGAGAGAGAGACTGAGAAAAGAAAGAGAACAGGAGAGATATAGGAAGGAACCCACCCGGCCAATTCGGGGGGAGGGGGTGGGAGAGGCTCTGTAGCGATTCGAATTTCCCGCGCACGCGCACGCGCGCGGATCGTTTGAACGTGCCCGGACGCGGAAAACCGCTGGAACCTTTCCCTCGATCTTCGCGGAACATTTGATGGAGAAATTAATGGGGAACGGGATGATGGTTTTTTGTCGTCGTGCACGTGTTTCGATCGCCCTCGCCGTATATAACTCGTGTATACGGTTCAAAGCTTCCCCCGCCCTCGAGTTTCTTCCAATACCTCTCGGTGTCGTGTCGCAAAGAAAGAAAGAAAAAAAAAATGTCCACTCGATCGGGACACAAAGAGTCCTTTTGTTTTTTTGTTTTTTTGTTTTTTTTTTTCACTAATAGACGACGTTCGTCTTCTTTATCGTGCAGTATGGCACGACTTGTACGTGTGTAGCGATCAGAGAAATCGCGGAATTGTATGCAAACAAAGAGCGTCGGTATGCGACAGCGCAAACGCGCGTGTTCTTTTGTCATCTGAGATCGCGAATCGAGAAACAATTCATCACACGGAATGTAATACACCGTTGTCGCGACCTCTGCTCGTGACAAACGACGACCACTCAACGCCGACAGTTGACAATCACAATAAACATTTAAATACACGGGCATTGTGTATTATACGCGGTTACTTGGAAACGGACATTCGACGAACGGTGTTCAATTCTCGTTTGCACGCATCTTGAACGCGTACATATACCGACGCTGGCATGTCGATTAAACGAAGCTTAACGAAGGATCGAAAAAACGTTAAAAAGTAATGGAAAAAACAAACAACCCCCATCTGTGTTCTTTAACTGTAAATTCTGCCAAAACTATCACTTTCCACGTCGAAACTGAGGAATCGTACCCCTACGAGAGTGTACGATAATCCTCGTCCCTAGATTTAGTAAGTCACTCTCTATCTCTCGCGAAACGTTAGAAAAAAAAAAAAAAAAACAGCGGTACCACGGTTAACGCTCTCCGTTCTTTAGTTGACTGCAACGCCCCCTCCCCCCTGAAATTTTTCATCTCTATCGCGACATTTTGTTTATACCAAATGTTTCATCCCACGTCTGCTTTTTCCATTTCAGCGGCGGCATAAAGTTTTCAGACCTGAACGCTGAAGAGGGTAAGTCCACTTTCAACTTCTCATTTCTGCGCACAGCCTAGGCTTAGTTTTCGCCTAGTTTACGTCTTCTACCCCTTTATACGTCTGCGTTCCAGAGGCCATAATTTTGATTGATTGTACATATAAGAAAAATCATGGTCATAAATCAACATTGGATTAAGTAGTTTTATATATATATATATACAGTCTCGAGTAGTTTTTATCGCAGAGAACGTAGCCTACGCTAGGATTAAGACTCCAGATACCACGGCTGGTATCTCTCCGCGAACAACCGACTCAAGATTCGATAACCTGCGATGCATATCGGTGCGTAATTACGTGCAAAGGACGCCCCCTTATCGCGTGATTACACCACCGGATATACGCACGAATTTTCGCGAAAGACACGACCCCCAGAGTGTCACGGCGCTGCGGGTGTGTATCGATCGACGGGCTCGTCCGCAAGAGCTGCTGCTCCCATGTGGCCCTCTCGTTTTATCCCCTTGGCCCGTTCGCACACAAGTACACAGTAGTGATCCGTTGCGCGTATGCGTCGACCGTCATGATAATATCGACGAAACTTTCCATTAGCCCCCGTGACGGGGGAGGAGATTCGCCAAATCGCACCCCTATGTTCACCTCTCGATCCACCTCGTAAACCTCCGAGGTGTCCCTATCGTTCGAATTTCGCGTTATCCCGACGATCGAAAACAGGAGTATTCCCCAACATGCGCTCCCGAAAAACGACATTGATATCACTCGAAACGAACATGGTCGTTCGACGATGGAGGAACGACGGTTTGATTAATTTACAAGAATAGAACCGATAAACTCGAATCTTCGATCTCTGATTCGCGTTTCGTCGCCGAGACAGGATTTTCGATACCGAGAAATCGTACGTCGAGTGACGATATCCTCTTTATCAATCGATTTAGGGGATTTTAATTAAAATCTCGTGAATAAAGCCCGGGATTACCGTGTTGACGCGCAAATTACGCAAGCTTGTGGACACGTTGCGTCAGTCCTGTTTTCCGGTCGCTGCCACCATCACCCTTGTATGTAAATGTGTCTGACTCTCCGGGAGAAAAGGCTCGAGGAGGAAATCTGGAAAGAAGAAAAAGATCCCCGATAGCTTTTACACTGTAGAACACACGCGACAAACGTGGTTTAATTATATCCGGTCGAAAGGAGACGTAAAAAGAAAAGCATCGTCGGGACACTTGGGTCGCGTTATTAAATCGCGTCGTAGGGATGTATACACGAACGTTGCGCTTGCGGGTGGGCCAGAGTAGAAGAATGGGCAACGTATAACGTCCGTTGATTGCGTAAAATCGAAAGCCCGCACAGGCGGCTCGTTGCCAAGATTCTTGGATCGCGACGACCGAGATCGTCGCGAGACACAGACTCCTCGCGGGTGTTTTGGAGTGACGGGGGAAGGTTGGATGACCACGCTGCGCGATGATCCATCGCTGGGGAACTCCATTTTTGGGTACCTCGAGAGGGGTACAAAGACATGAGATTTTTCTTTTTTAAATTTCGTACGTCAGACGACAAGAAAAGACTGCCTACCGCTTAAAATAACTTAGCGATTGTTCGCGAAGAATTACACCATCGGTAGGTCGTTTACGGTTCATTGTCGGGTTTTACATATCGCGAACAGGCTCTATCTTCGACGGAGAACGGAAATATTTCAGTCGGGGTACACCTTCACGTTCGTTTCAAGGTCATCGTATCGGTAGCCCCTATAATTGTTCGTCTATAATTGAACCAGAGTTTGATCCTTGCCCGTATCGTTTTTCTATAGGTCATGGGGACAGAACCCTTTTATCCGGATCGATTATTCGATCGTACCGTGGAGACACGGAAGGAAGGATCCGTCGGTCCTCGAGCTAACGTTCCAAACATAGTTCACGGGGGTGTAGTTCTTTAATTATCCTCTGTCACGTAATCCGCCCCAGTCGTATTATGACGGTTATTATAGTTTCACGATTCGTTGTAACGGCGAATAATAATTTGTAGGTTCACCAGGAAACCGTACCACTGGGAACTTCAGATCCCGCAAATTCACCTACACTCATCGAACCAACTATTCGTTTCGTCCAACTTCCGAACGGGGAATACATTGAATTCTCGATCAGTGTTCGAAGGTTCCTCGTCACCGACAAGAAAAGATCCTTTGCAACAAATGATATTTGTTTCAGCCCCGTATGACCGTTAGTTTATTTAATACTCAGTGCCGGAGGAGCCTTCGAACACTCATCGAGAATTTACTGTAGATCTAACACCATTCGCCGTTCATGCTGAGTCTTTCGGATAGGTTCTATAATTACTCCTATGTTTATCCACCGCAGGTTCGTGGTTAAAATATTCGCGAAACGAAAATATGGCCGTCCGTCGACGGGGAAATCATCGATCTGTTTCTCAGGACTTCGAGGAAAATTTTCTACGCGCCCGTTCGAATCCCCGCGATAATAATATCGCGTCATGGAGGTTATGTAACGCGAAAATAGGGATCGGAATTTCGGTCGGTAGAGATACGCTCCACTCGAAGCGATTGATAATCTCGATGGGGGTATCCGTTCAAAGAACGGAGACACGCTTGTGTTTGCGTGTGTATGTATTTATTGCGAGACGTGCCGTTTCGAGCGTATTTACACGCAAACGACCGCGATTTCCTGCCAAACCTAAATAGTTTCATCGTTCCTAGCGGTTTCGTCATTTCTCGGGAAATCCGCGCGAGACGCGGTTCCTCTCACCCTCCGAGAACCGAATACGAACCACCAGTTGCGGACCGTTCCCGAATGAGAACGTAAAAAGTAGAACACACTTGGTGTTCAGTGTTTTATTTCATTTTACAAACGTGCACTTGCGTGCTTCATTGTTTTGAAACTACGACGAGTATACTCGACAAAAGCAGAGTAAATTGCCTTCGCTGTAGAATTTAAACGAATCCTAATCAAACGACAAAATTATTATTGCGACTTGAGCGCCATTTACTGTAAAAAAAAGTCATTGCCTTTGTGATTGCATATTTCTTTTTTTGTTTCAAAATATTCTAAAATATGTTAAAATTACGAATATATTTTTTGTTTTACCTAACTTGTACTGTAAATGGCGAATGGAATTATTTTAAATTTTCTTATAAATGCCATCATTTTGCAGCAAGTATACTCGACCAGAGTTGAGCAGAATTTTATTCGAATAATACACAGTGAAAAGCAGCGGTTTCTAAGGATATCGTTCTGAGCTTTAAACAGTTAATGAGATTAAATAATTGTCAAAAGTCCATTCATATAGAAGTATTATTTCATTACAAAAATTGAAATTTCCACGTTTAAACAATTAAAAATGACGAAATACCTTTTTTTTATCCATCTCTGTAACTCGACAAACATCGTATGGGTTAAATTGTATTCCGTGTGTCTCGCGCAAAAATGTATTTGGTCTCACGAGCGCATTGGTTCCAACCGTGTCGTCGTCGCGGTTACGTAAAGATATATGTTGGTCAAGACTTTAATCCCGTGGCCTTGAAACGCTGATACAAATCAGGCTTCCTGCCACACCAGATCTCCTCCTCGTTTTGGCTTCTCCGTCAGACACGATCGACAGGAGGGGGTGGTGGGGGGAGCATATCGATATATGGACGTGAATTATTTCGTATTGGGACGCTAACGAGGTATGTGTGTTGCACCTGTCTTCTTCTTCGCGAGTCCAAGAGGCTTCGGTGGGATTGATCGCAGCGAAGACGACAAGCCGTATAATTGGCCGTTGCGTCGCGCGACGTTAATTTGTTAATGTAGGTCGTCCGTAACGATGGATCATCGCCTAATAAGTTCGTTATACCGGGCATCGGTTATTAATAAGTCATACCGTTCGCGTTCCCCTTAATTGTTGCTCTATCGTCGTCGTTCGACCCGCTATATGTATACGCGCTTGAACATTTTGGCCCGGCGCCAATTTCATTTTCATTGTGCCCCCCACACTGTCGCAGCCCGTGAAATCGTCTTGGATTCCACGATTTTGCGAAACGGCCACGCGCTTTCCGCGAAATGATTTATCGCCGACCTGTGATTTACTCGCTGGGAACACGATAAACAGTCTGTTATTACGTACGAACGCGAGGGAACATTGTGTTTCGCGTGCACCGCGGAACGAAACACATCGGAACGTCTAGGTTGCATGAAAATTAGGAAATTCGTTCGATAATTCAAGGCTGACTCGATGAAAATAAATGGTCATCGTTCCATGGGAAATAAAAATCCACTCCCTCCCCCATGATTTTTTTCCCATTAATGTTATCCCCGAAACGTCAGATTCCGGAACGTGGATGAAACGTTCGTTTCCCGCGGAAAATGAAATTATGTTTCGAAGGCCTGTTACAATGGCCCTCCTCGAAGTTCGACGTTGCTTAGGGTTATACAGTTTACCTGGATAAAGTTCCGATAGAATCGAACGAACGACGTTGAAACGATTTTCCTTGGTGGTAACTTGATCGTCGATCGAATATGTGCGATTTTTCTCTTTCTATCTATTCTTTTTCGCCGTGCTCCGTTTGTGTTAGCCTCGAAATTCCGTGCTTGCCGTTCCACTCGGCGAATTCCTTCCGACTTCCGGCATCGGAGAAGCGTGGATACGCAATCGGCCATGCAAATGGGAGCAGAACGGAACGAAAAAATAATACGGTTCGCCTTTATGAAATATTGATAGGCGATCGTGGTCACGACGCAGAACGTTGTCGCGTATCCATTCCTCTCCACGTGTTGCTTTTCACGCGGGTTCAACGTCGCGGGCACGCTCGATCCTTTCAAGGACAATGGCTGCGCCTAAGATTAATGGGAACCGGTCTTAATTATCCAGCCTTCCGGTTACGGCAAGACACCACGGGTTTCAATAATAAACGGGGTTAGGTCGAATCAATTTGCACGGATTAGCGAAACCGACGGCGTCATCTCTCGCGATGCATATGTCTGTATATTCCATTTACTTACGCAGATTTCTTTCCCGCATAAAAACTCGTTGCAGGCGCGTCACGTGGACGAACGTCGATATCTCGCTTATCCCATTCCGACCTGAATTATTCCTTTCAAACGAAAAAAAGAAAAAGAATATGTTCCTGCATATATGTATTTCTTGGATATCAGAAAAACAGAAAAGAATTATAAACAAACACGAATATTGATTATAACAGCTCGTAAATATTATTTTTGAGAAGGTATCAATAAGTTATAAATGTTAAGTAAGTTAACGGTTCCAAATGGCACCGTAAATCTTGGATTCGTTCTCCTAGTCGTAGAACGTCTTCGAGAGGAAAATGATTTCTCGCGATCTGCCAGCGAATTTCATACAGCCAGCGGGTGAATGCGTCGGAGGAAGAACCGTGCCCGGTTAAAATTTCACACGCCTCGTACGAAACAGGAGCTCTGTTCCTTTGGTCATTGAAAAACTATCGTGTCCCCGCGTGCATATCCCCCTCGTTTCCACCGTCGCCGAGCACAGAGACGTAAACGCCCAGTTTCGTTTTTCACGGGATCTTGAGACCACATGTGTCGACGCGACGACTGTTCTGCATTCGTCGACGGTTTCGCATAAACCACGATTCCCTGGTTTTACTAACTCCTCGAGCGTCTGTAAAACGAAAACACTTTACAAACGAATAGGGATCGCTCTGATCCTGACCTGGAGAGTCGACGAGAAAAAAGAACGAGATCTCATTGGCCCAACCCCCTTTCCTCCCCTTCTTTCATATCCAAGCTGATCTAGGAATCGTCGTTTCGACTTGCAAAGCCCTGTACCATTTTTACAGTGGTAAATCTATACCCAATTCCGCTCGTAAAACGTTCAAACAAATCAGAAGATCGTATCCGTGGACATTCCGTTTCTACATCTTCGGGGTTGATTCTCCCAAACAGGGAGGAGAAACGCACGAACGCAGGGTATATAAAAAATCAACCAGGCTGCGACTGGAATATCCGGATGGGGTAAAGAAAAATATAATTGCAAAGGGAATCGATAAAGTTTTGCAGCGTCGGAGACGGGACCACTGCCTCGCGTGTGTTTGCAGTCCTCCCTGCTGAAGGTTGCAAAACAGGGAATAACGAGAGGCACGACTGTGCCAAGCCAATTTCTAAACGACGAACGAAATACCGCTGATACAACGGTACCGCGGGTTCGCTATGTATGACAAACGATGCAATTACTCCACGCGAACATTTTAAAAAATCGGTACCACCTAGAGGGTGGTAAGGGGGGAGGAAGATCCTGCCTAGCTTACCGGGCTTGGAAGTGTCTTCAAGGTCGGTTGGTTCTAGCAAAGGGATCCGGGTCGCGTCCTTCGTTCACGAAGTCCTCGCGGCGACGTTACAGGAACGTGTCGGACAAAGGCGAGGCGAGGTGGCCGGATATCTTGGAGGTTGACTCCGGTGAGGGTGAGTTCTAGCCCCCTGTACTGTACGAAGGCGATAAGGTACGACGTGGACCCTCCTGTATTATATTCGCGACAGGACTCGTGAATCACGAGCGAAAATTACACGCTTCAGGAACGAAGAACCATTCTCCAATCTGGGGTCATCTTTCTGCCCATGGATCACCTCGCTTCACTACGATCTTTATTTTCTGTTCTTCTAATAGTTCTGTTTGGTGAAGTTGTACGGATGATCTGGCACACGGATGTACACTGCCGGCCATGAGTATTGGGACAGTTGGAATTTACTTTATGAATTTATTTTTATGACGAAAATGTTATGTCTCGTACAAATGATACACCTTGGGCTACTTTTATTAGTTTATACCGTCAAAGTTCGTCGAGCTTTATTATCCACTAAACAATATTTAATTTCAGACTTTTAGAAATTTCGTAATGCTTTGTAATATTTACTGCATATTAGATAAGTGTCCTAGTACTTATGGCCGGTCATGAGTATTAGGACAGTTGGAATTTATTTTATGAATTTATTTTTATGACGAAAATGTGATGTCTCGTAAAAATGATATACCTTAGGCTACTTTTATTAGTTTATACCGTCATACGCGTTGTTCGTGAGCTTTATTATTAAACAATATTTAATTTCAGACTTTCCGAAATTTCGTAATGCTTTGTAATATTTACTGCATATTAGACAAGTGTCCTAGTACTTATGACCGGCAGTGAACATTTTCTCGTGCCACAGAGGCCGTAGTTTCCGCTCGTCGTTTCGACACGTCGTCGAAGATTAAAAGAGGGGAGGTCCCATCGTCCGGTTTCGCGCTTTGCTAGAAGCGATTCGGCTCGGTTCCTGCCCGCTAGACAACCCGCCTATTGTTGTTGTTGTTCAGCCAATCGAGGCGTGTCATCATCTCGCTGCACACTTGGTAAATTAGGCACCAGCGCATTTTTTTTTTTTCTTTCTATGCCGTTCTCCCTGAACACTCAATCGATTGTCTAGCCCCCGTGCGCACCTTTGTGTCGGCGGTGAATCGCGGGCGCGTAAGCACCGAGAATTAATAGCCGTTTTCGATAGAATTATAACTCCCGGTATCTTGGCGGACAGCCAATGTATGTACGTTCCTCGATAAATTGTCACCGAGACGTAAACAACGATCAAACAGGCGTTTAAAGGATGATGTCCAAAGGATCAAAGGCCAAGAAGCCAAAAAAAAAAAAAAAAAAAAAAAAAAAAAAGATCGCGATCTATACCGAATTCCAAAGTGTGAACTCGAGACTTTCGTTCGTTATCTCACCCTCGATTCTCCTTACTCTTACGTCCACGAGTGCTCCAAAAGCGCGGGAAACCTTCAACCGCCTCGATGTATGCACTCATCAGAGTTGGGCACAATTTTATTCGTGAAAAACAGCAGTATCTGGGATCGTTATCCTGACCTTTGAACAGTTAATGAAATGAAATAATTGTTTGCCAAGTGTTTACTCGTTCGAGAAATATTATGTTATTGTAAAAATTGAAATTTTCACTTAGAAAAACTTCGTTATTCCAAATTTTTTATTTATATAACGAATTTGCCCATCTCTGGTACTCATGTATGCGTATTTGTCCTCGCTAGACGTCTGACTCCGTTGAACGTATCCAATAAACAGTTTCGCACAGGTTATTTGACGTTCGTTTCCGTTCAACTGTGAAACCCGCGATGATGTTAAATTATATCGATGTTACGTGACGATCGTCACGGCCAGTCGCGAGAGAACGGAATCACAGAAACCGTCGTCGGACTGTTAGAGGATCCGGTGGTGTCCTAGGGTTCGATGACAGAAATGAAAAACGACAGTCGATGGTGAAAAGATTATTGGACCTCGGTCGGTCGCCCGATTAATTGGATTTTTTCCCCGATTCGATAAAGCAGGAACACGTACCCCCGACACAACAAACGGAGACGTCAGCTCAGTCTGAAACGATACGTGTCCGTATCTCCCACGGACATCGTGTGCAAGCGTTGTACGACAATCAGAGTTGGGATCACTGTTGGGACTCGCAAACACACGCCACCTGGTAATTCAATCATATTTTGATCCTCGAAACTGCTGACCACCTAGGCTGGCAATCTTGAGCGATGGTTTAATTGGCTGGAATCTGAACTTTTCGTTAATTCCTTTCGAGTAAAATTCTCCGTGGAAACCAGAGATTATTCTACACGAGTGTTCCGTTGCGAGAATAGCCTCGACGTTGAATCTCCGAAAGAACCGACAGAAGCTTAAAATTTACAAGTAGCACACGGAAAAGACTCTCTGAAGCATCTCATTCCGACAGATCCCCGGTAATTACATCGATCCCACGGTAGTCCAGTGATTGCACTAGGCGCACACTTGGACTACTCGTGATAACGATCCTCTCGAGAGCCGAGATTGTACGCCTATCATCTTACCGACTTCAAGGGGACCGATAAGACGTGATTCATTGTTCGTATCCGGTAGAGCGGGGATATGTGAAACCACAGACGAGATATAAAAATAGACATAACATTAAATGTAATTTTCTGTCCCATGCTTCGGGGGTGTCGGAAGCCCCCGTACCATTTCAGTATTCCATTCCTTGCTAGTGAAATCGGAACGATAATGTGTTTGTGCGAACGTAATTCCTGAAATCGGAAACTTTTATCTAGAGGTGCATCGGAACCAGCATGATTTTTGTGGAACACAAAGTCCCATAAGATGTTAAGTCTATTCTTATATCTCGTCTGTGACGAAACGTTAAATTTATGTTAACGTGTGTTCTCTTCGTCGAACGCGCGACAGTTGTTAAGATAATTTGGACAATGCGACGATAAACGTATTCTCTGTCAGCCTCCACCTGATATCTGTCCGTAGTCGCGTGTCACGATTATACTCGTTCGTTAGGAACAATAGGCAACAATTCTCGCTTATCGGCACGTGGCGTAAAGTAACAAGAAACGGACTAATTAAATTCATGCCAAACCGTTGTTACGTAACGAATCGCAAGCTCAAGAAAAGACGTAGTTATTAGATTGCCCGTAGTCTTCTCGCATCTAGAAGAATTCGTAACGTAGACCACTTTGGATGTAGCGATAAACCGTCGTCCTGCCCTGTTGCACGCGAATACACAATAAGAAAAATGACCTCTTGTTGTTCGTTCTGCTTCAGCGTTCAAGTTCCAAGAGAATCTGCTGCGCACCATGATACAGATAGAGAACACGTTCTTCCAGCTGGGCGAGAGTTGTTCACGAAATTGTCTGATAATCTGCGATCGCGGCGCTATGGATGCCTCGGCATGTAAGCGGGGAGATCATTTATTCGTATATTTGTGGTGGTGTTCGTCGTCCACGTTCAAGACGATATTGTCCGTCGTTAACTTTACCGTTTTCCCGTGTTTCACAGTTATATCGAAGGACAAATGGGAACTGATGATGGCCTCGAACGGATGGAACAACGTCGAGCTCCGTGACAACCGTTACAATCAGATCATCCACATGGTTTCGGCGGCGAACGGCGCCGAGGACTTTTACTCGACCGAGGAACACGCTTGCAGATCGGAAGGTGTCGAACTGGCCAGGGAGCTCGACTACAAGGCCGCCGCCGCATGGGTCGGGCATCCGTATTTCGACGTGATCGACAACTCGCAGGATTTCGAAACGAAGATCTGTCGCATGATCGAGTGCGTATGTCAGAAGCTGGGCATCGACACCGGGGACAGGTTGCGCGCTAGCAGCAGAAAGGTAAAGTTCCTTGTCAACGGTCCTTTACGAGCGGACAGCCAGTTCCCGCCGTTCCAGGACTTCGATGTCGTCCATAACTACCTCCAGAGCAATAATCCGAAGATGCAAGCCCGTCTCCGTAAACGTGGTCAAAAAGGTCTGTATAAACGGAAACGTGGATTCATCTTAAAAGTCTTAATCCACAATGAAGTTGTAAAAGTACAATTGTATAGTGTTACAATTTATAAGTAGGATACCATAAGACGCAAGTTATTTATAAATATTAAAAGTATATGTTGTATATCCGTTACAGGTCACTGGTCCTACATTCATACTATCAGGCGTCCAAAAATGTGTGGTCAAGTGATCGAGGTGAAGACACAATTGACTCACAGAGATTATTTGAACATGCTTGCTCAACGCGACGACTCGCATTTTACTATCTTCAAACGTCGGCGTTGCTTTCTCATCAATAATCAGTATTTTCAGTTAGATATATACAGAGAACCAGCACACCCGAGGTAAGAGAGAGCGCTTCGGAGCTTTATGTGTACTATATATGTATATGGAATAAAGTAATCTTTCATAGAACAAAAGGCTAATAATATATAATGTGACTGTAGATGCCGAGGTTTAATGTTGCTCGAAACGTACACAGCGTTAACGGGAGAGGAACTTAAAAATATCTTACCACAGTTTCTAACAATTGAAAAAGAAGTCACTGGAAATCCAGATTACAGCATGTTCAATCTCAGTCTTAGAGAAGAATGGAACACCACTAATAAATACTGCCACAATTTACACGGTACGTGTTATTTATTACATAATCGTTACTTTTATCATTGAATAATACAGAGGTGTAACTCGTGTTCACCACACTTTAATGATAGTAAGTAGTGGTGTATAAGTTAATCATTACATAAATTTTCTTTAGTATAGGCGATGTTTCATTTGATCAGTCTGTTTTAAATTGCACAGATTACGCTCTTGCAGGCTTGACGGAATCTGGATCAGCAGAAAGTAAAATAGTCGGTTCGTCGGGAGCGAAAGATAACGCATCAGTTAAGAAACAAATAAACAGGGTTGATTCTAGAGTCAATGGTGTAGAGGTCGGTGTAAATGGTGTAGATAAAATTGTTAATGGTGTGCAAAATGGTGTCCACGGTGTTGCGAACGGAAACGCGAAATTCGTCGAACGAAATAGCATAAAAAGCAATAGTCAAGAAGATCAGAAACGTATTGCACGCGATAATACTGCTAAAAAGCTGAACGATAGCTTGTAAGAGATCATCGCGGTAAAAGAGGGTATCGATGAAAATGGATCTGAGAATGAAACACGTAAACAAAACGGTAAAAGTAAAGCAACGAGAAAATGAGATAAATTAATTTAAATAATTCCAATGAGAACGAGAAAGACAAAGTATTTTATTGGCACTGGCAGTTAACTAGATTGAAAAATTCCTATGCAATACGAAAGTGACAAATTTATTGACCACAACACACCAATTTTCTAACTGGAACTCGCGTGTCACATACGAGTACTACGCTACATGCGAAATGTACTTAATACAATCCAATTGTAACTTATTTTTTACCGATCTGTTTTAACATGCGATATCGATTTAATATACCAAGTATTTTTACATCTAAATCACCTCATTTCACTTTCCATCTCTTTACTTGTGTATTCTTTTCTATTAGAGTATTGTGGTAACTCTTTATTTAAGAAAATTTACTTATAAATAATTGTGATACAAGATACACGTAGCGTGTAGTATATAAACAACGTATTCGAGGTATACAATTATCCGAGAACATACGATCAGTGTGAAGTATACTTTTCCTTAGAAACGTTTAACATTGTCTGGATAGAAAATTAATGTTCTATACTAACGTAAACGAGTTTTAACGATTTATTTTATAAATTGTAACATAGAAAGCGGAAAAAAACATTCGTACCCGCAGTAGATCCGTCTACAATTCGTAAAATGCAAAGATGAATCTACTATTTCACTTATCTTTTAACCCTTTCCGACCGTAGGATTCCATTTGGAATCATTAACTTACTTAGCATTTATAATTATATTATGAGCCTGAAAATTAGTTTTTTTGAAGAAGAGAATATTCGTTTTTGTCTATGAACAATTTTTTAATTATTTCTAATTTTCTTGCTTTTTTGGCATCCAAATATACAAAAAAATATTTTTGTTTCTTTTGAAAGGATAAATTTAGGTCGGAAAGCGTTAATATATAACAGTGAGGTAACTTACAAAAGTATGGTTCAACGATTGTACTGTTCTGCAGTATTGTCAGGGGTATGTATTATAGTCAGGACAAGGTAGTTGTCAAATGTACTAGTACTTAACAGGTATATTTCCATTAAGACTTCATTAAGTTTATATGGGACAACATTTTAATGGCAATACTTTTGGTGCAAGCAATATTAACTGTTGAGTTGAAGTATTTTACAAAGAAAATTACTTTAAAGTAAAGGAATTAGTAAACACTTAATTTAATTTACCAATTAAAATTTTATTCGTCATTGATCATAACTTAATGAACTTAAACTGTGATGATTATATATATGCTTATTTTACATAGACACATTTATCGCAAATTTTGCCATTGTTTAGAGACGAAGTGCCTGTGAAATGTTCAGTCGCGAAAATGAAAAGAATGATATATAAATATATATTTTCAATGAGAGATGCAATAATCAGTTATTGATGCACTTATACCACATATAATTGATCTGAACTCGTACTGTACCCATGATTATCTAATAAAATGTCATGTGCCTATCAGGATTTGTCAATTTTTTATATCCACAACTACACTTTACTTAATGCATAAATAACAACTTAAATAACTTCTCGCTGTAATTTTGTTTTCAGATTAAGGCTTACGTACATTTTCATGTGGTACAACTAGGAGAAGAATATAAACGAATAACTTGTTGGTCACTGCAGATTTATTGCCATTTTTCAAAACATTTTCTGCTATAATCTTACAAGTGTACAAAATAAAAAAAAAATTTAGAGGTACATATAAATTTTCTTGAATGCGTAAACACTCTTTAGTATTATGTCAATCTTATTAGCAAATTTGTTTATCTACAAGTATTAAGTCCGAAGAGTTCAAACAGTACTTTATTCTGGTAAGACAAGCTTTCTCTACTAAAAATACTTAAGTAGGTAAAGTGCATATAAAGGAAGAAATATGATATCTCTAAGTCGAAAATACAAAATTAACAATCATATATGTATGTCAGTATGGAATTAGAGAAGCCCAGTTTTATAACATTATATAGAAAGGTGTAACGAATAGTGGAAGCGTAATTGTTGTTTTTGGTATACCTTGATTATCATAAGTTACTGTTAGTAACCCAATGTAGATACTACATTCACCACCTTAATCAGGACAAAACGTTAACAATATTGTACATAATTCATATAATCCATTTTTTACATATAATTCATAAAGTTGACGATTTTTTTTTGCTCTGTACATTAAACAGTGTCTAAATCTTCTTAAAGCTCTAGTGGTATTTTCTATAGAATATTTCAATAGAATAATACTTTCCACCTACATATTTGCAAATATCTCTGAGTTCTAATACCAAGAACTTCCGTGTAGCTGCCTCTTTCTATTGAAATAGAGACATAATTGAATTACGTATTAAAAATCAATTCGTTAGAAGACATATTTCATTCATTATGGGCAAGTTAGGGATGCCAAATATAAATAGAAATATATTTATGCAGGTCCCTGGAAGTAATACCTATACAAGTAAAGTATACTTTTATATACATAACAAACAATTTCCTATAAATATCAAGTATTTAAATAATTCTCAATCTTAATCTTCCAATTAATTTTGAAGTATCTATGACTGGTGACATATTCCTTTGTAACTTTTATTGGAAGTGTCTACTTCTTTTTATTTCTTAAAGAGATAAAAGTCTCTTATACTGTGTTCCTTGTTCATACAGTTTTCTTCATTTCATGACTTTGATTTTCGATGTATATTAGTACTAATTCTCTATGTATGAACTCTGTTGTATAAGATCACATACAAAAGCATAAAATATTCTCATTCTATGTAGCTAATCGTATGTAGTTGCAAGCTGAAGATGTAATATAATTTATCTACTAACAGCTTTAGCTTGTTGTGCTTTGTACATTTTTAAGACTTTCTTACTAGGTACTAAAGACTGACTTAAGCCTGGCCTTTTCTTACGCTTATTCATTTGATTATTTTCTTGATCTATTTCATCATCATCATTTATGGAAACTTGTCCATTATATTGAGTCTGACAAATAATAGTTTCCTGTGGTGCTCGAATTACTTCTAATTCAGCTGCTGTTCGATGTAAATCAGAATCATGTGCAAAAGTACAATTATGACCAAAGCGACATCTACCTTTTCTATAATTCCAGCAAATCTTTCTACCATTTATCATTTTTGTATCATCTAAAGTTGGAGTCATTTTCACATGTTTCTCAAGAATTGCACTCTTTGCTTTCTCTGCTTCAACAAAGGGATTTGAGAAGACTGAAGTTTTCATGATGGGTGTACTATTAAAATCTGGTGTTGGCAATGGAAGTTTCTCATTGGAAGCTGCTTCATTCGATGATTCTCTATTATTTTCATAGTTTTCTTCATCCTCATCTTCCTCTTCTTCTTCCTCCTTAAAACTAAGGGTTAGGCAATATCAGATTACAAAGAACCAGTTCAATCTTACGTTTAATCATCAATTTCATCTTAACACGTTCATGTAGATATAAGTGTAAAAGTCAATAATACATACTTATACTAGTAATATCATCTTTGTGACACCATATATAAAATAATGTTATAGATATATAAAATCTTCATAAACTACTGAGAAATTATCAAATTACAAAAGTTGATGACTTGATGTTAAACAACTGTGGAATATAAGTCATAATGAAAATAAATATATACTTAATATTTGTGTCACAAGTACATGTGTGAACATAAGAAATTTTTTACCTAACAAAAATCGATGCACACATCTACATTAAGATACAAAGTGTTGAAAGCCTAATAATTCATTTTAAAAAGGAAAATAAATGCTGCGAAAGGATAAACGCAGAATGAAAACAAAAAAAGGAGGCATACAACTTTACGTGGGTGCAAGCTTACGTGTTATCGCCATTTTCTGAGACATCGTCATCGCTGCTCTCTGAGCCTGAGGAAGTTCCATAATCCGCAACTAAGGAAGCCATCGTTCTTACCAATTAATTAACACTATACTTTAACAAACACTAATCTAATATAACCATTATAAACTGCTATGCTACCGTCCACACTTCGAAAATGTGGCAACGTAGCAAATCATTCATCACCGGAAGTTGGGAACGATACTGTCGTATGTCGTACATTTAGAGTAGGCGGCAAATACAAAATTGCTGCGCAAATGTTCAAACTTAAATCTATTTTTATTGCATAAACTTATCTATATTAGTGTGTAAACTGCGTACACTTTTATAAACATATTCATATCGTCGGTTACTAATTACGTAAGAGATGTTTGGAAAATCAGATAACAGTAAACATATAATTACACAACATTAAGAACATGATACACCACCACTACTTATACTGAAAGTGCGTGTAATATTTGTTTCTAATTGAAAGCTTTTCAATACGGAAATCTTCCTATTTCCATGTTCTAATTTTTTTATTAGTAATCTTGTATTAGGAACACCTTCCCAATATCTTCCCAATGTTGAGACTACTCCAATATGATTTTCACTTGTACTTGTGCTAGCTGCTTTTGTTTCACCAGAAAAACTCCATTGAGTAACCAAATTGACTGTGATAATTGATAAATGAAATTCATTGGCAATAAAATGACACATATTTGCTAGATGATTTAGTTGAATTGTTAGTTTGTGATCATTAGACAACATGAAAATTATCGCTGGCAATGAATCAATGATTATAATTCTTGTACGACATTGTTCTGTTTCACCTTTTAAGGCAATTGTTAACCAACGTAAAACCTTCAATAATTGATGCAAGTTTTTTATAGTACATACTCTGATGTGATCCAGAGCTTCATCTATAACCTACATTTAAAAACCATAATGTATTTATGACATGTCGTATTATGTTATTACTATATAACTAAAAGAATATGTCAGTACCTGTTTACTGCAATTTTTTCTTAATAAAATTTCTTCTATCCTTGAACCACAAAAATCTTTTTTTGTATCAATATATCGTACAAGACTATTAGACCGAAGAGCAATATTACTTGCGATTGTTAAACATAACTGTGTTTTACCACTTGATGATATACCACATACTTCATATATTTGGCCTGGGTACAATCCACCTTTCAATAAATTATCTAAACTACTTAGGTGTAAATTATTAGCTTTTCATGTAACTTGTACTGCATGAATATTATTTAATTATAGTACCTTAATAAATTAGTTGGAATTATATTGTTCAATTCTATTTCAAGCAAATCACAGGCATTTCTTATAAAACCTCCATATTTCTGCAAAATTGTTCTTTTAACATCCAATACATCCTGCAAATTTAACCTTAAATTTCTGATTTTACGCTAAAACATTTTTTTTACTACTGTTTCTAGTAATCTTACATACGTACCTTCAGCAACAGTCCCGTAAAGATCGCTAATTTTTCAGGATCCTCATCTATAAATTGAGTAATAGTGCTAATATGTCTGCGTTCTAATTGTTGTATCATAGTATCCGACAATTTCGGATCTATATCTGATTTTAATTTTGTCATGCTTAAGAAAATAATTGCGTCAACTGTTCGTTCTAAATTCCATGTAAATAAGTTTCATCTTAACATTCCGTTTATATTTGTATCATTAAAATCAACAAAAAAAAACGTATCTAACAAACTTCCGGAAAATTAAAATTAACGAATCCACTACTTTTATTTGAATTGATGTGACGTATTTATATACGTAATTGTGATGGAAATGTAATCCTGTTTTAAAGTTATTCGACAAGAAATCAAAATTATTTCAAAAAAAGAAAAAGAGGAAGGAGAAAAGAAAAATTTTTAGATTATCTATTTTTAATCGCCTGTTTTAGTTAAAAAGTTCAAATCATTATCGCATATACTACGTAGATCAATGTAAATATAGCAGTGGCACCCAAAAGATGATGCGCCGAGTACCGAAATGACCCCAGCGTCATTCTTACGATTGTACGTATCACACGCGGACAGCTCGTTAAGGACAGTAGAATCGAATAGAATCAGAAAAAAATGTGCTGTAAATTCTAGGACATTAATTCTCGTTTGTTATTTCGTCATGGCTCATTCGCGATCCATCGTAGATACGATCACAGTTTTGTCTCAGAAAACTTGTAGGGAGTTCGTCATCACGTTCAAAAATGTGTTCAACACATGTCCCGTGAAACGATTTCGCGGATACGTTCATTACCGAGATATTAATTTGTTCGAATTCGGCTAGAAGGTACGTACAAATGTCGACGCAATAAACATCATCAAAGTTCAATCGAAAAGTGAGTAAGTAGAAACCTTTTTCTTCCTATTTTATCTTCACCTGTTTTCTACCTTCGAACATTAACGCATGCGGTAGTCGTAAGGTAACACGTGGTGTGTTTGACCGCATATGGCCGTACAACTATGTTACGCTTGCTATAAAATTTTATTTAAATCAGAAATTATTATATTCTCTTTTACAAATACATTCTTTTCATGAAAAATTATTTTTAAATTTCGTATACTTGAAACAAAAAAACTTACGGTGCCCAATTAATTGTAGAAATATTATATAACATACAGTTGTGGACAGTAATTCTTAATGAATATTTAAAATGATAGGTGATAATTTGCAAGAGATAATAAATAATGCTGTATGTATTATTATAATTACATAAATATATGATTCTAAAGTCGAAGCACGTGCCGTGTTACTACCTGTATGAAGACGAACATTTAAGGAGATATATGTATAGCGTTTGCGATATCAGTTTGTTTGCTGTACAAATTAAAACGAAACATTTGGATAACGGCTTCAGATCTAACGCCAGGAATGTAAAATGATGTAATACCACGTGTAAATGTATGCCCATATTTGTCGGTCACGCGTAGTCTTTTCAAGATCATTATGAAGGAATTGTACCTATTTTCTGTACTAATACAATTTCATTATTTTAAAGTTTATACGAATATTTCTTGTACGGTTCATATTCAACAAATTGATTTTTCTGTAAATAACTAGATTGAATTAAGTTTCAAATTTAAAAAAAGTTTTCTGTGGTTAAAGTTTTAGTAATGAAGTAATATGCACCATTACTGGTTTGTTCATTGTTTTAACGTACACAAACATTTGTGAAGCAATGAGTTTCATGAAATGTTCAAGAATTCTGTATTCGTGAATATTTAATAGTTGCTGATTTGATTTGTGGTAGGAAAACCAGTCCCTTTAATATTTTGACCAGTAACCAATCAGGAACGTTTTTAACTGCCACGTTGCCAAGTATCCGGTTGCTAGCAGCCAATCGTAGTATTGGTGCCCAGTCGGAGCGGCATCTCTCTGCGGCTTGTGTAAACGTGAAGCAGCGAGCAGCTCTCGGTCTGACCGCGGTCGAAATTTTGTCGGGAGCCGTCGCCATGTTTAGAAGTGTGTGCGTCCTTGAGCGAGTCGAGCGAAAATGTTCTGTAAAATATTAGATATAGCTCATGCACTGTACATTACGTGAGGTACCTAATTGCAATTTAACGCTCGTCGATCACGGGTGTAACAATTATTTTCGTGGATGGCTCACCTACGTCGCAGAATTTTGTGATTACATTATGGTAAGTCCGCCCTCCTATCGGACCAACGCCAACATGGCGGACGAAAAATTTCCTTTGTATCGCCGCGAGGCTCCACTGACGCAATTGCGAAAAATATATTTTCTTGGGAAGCGATGCAGTTGAAAATATCGGGAATATTGTTTTCTTCTGCTAGAAGGCTTCATTAATAGTCTGGCGCGACGGTTGTTGTTATTGTATCAAGATAAACTGACATTTTTCTAATAAGAAAACTTGAACGCCCTGAATGCTTGATATCGGACCATCGCGTATTCGTTGCAATCTCGCAATATTTTAAATGACATCGCTCGTTTCACCGTGCAGTTGATCGCAGATAAGTTCTTTGTCTTCCTGATATAGTACTTTTCAGTGTATTTTTTCTTCTGCGCAATACGCATGTTTTATAAATTCCAATGTGGTGCATCAGTTGGATCGACGGAGAAATTTTGATTTCGGCGCTTTTTTCACAAATCAATTACCGTTCTCATTTTGACTTACTGGGATTACCTTACTTGAGGCAACAATAGAATGTACATATTTGGAGTAAAAATGTACGACAAATTGTTTACATACCTTGAATAATTGAAAAATAAACGATTATTAATAATTAGTGAAGTTATAGTTGATGTTGTTTCTTATTCGTGTGTTTTTTTAGTTAGCGTCTTTACACTTTTCTAATTGTGAAACAATCATGTGTTTATTAAAAGTAAACTGTTTTTAATATAATTTCTTATGACTTGCAACTTGAAGTCAGTTAAATTCTTTCATGTTTGAAATTGTCTTTTTTTGTCTTTGTTTGCGTTTTTCTTAACCTGGTGTGTATTTAAATATAGTATATTTTAGCTCTGTTTAAAAGTGAATTGATAAGAATAGAGCAAGCAATAAACTTAGTTATGTCACTTGTTTTTCATTTATTATATTTCAAGTTTAGCACAATATGTTATGATATATTAATTTTGTTTTTTGCTTATTTTAAATATATAATTAAATCTTTAAATAATGGTTTAATGGTTCCAAATATTTGTAGTACATATTAATGAAAAAGTAAATATTTTTTATTTATTGAGCTATTAGATGAATACACCCTTTAGTGTGCTTTTATCTTCACATGTTATTGATATTGTAATACAACAATGTTATAATAAATATCTAGTTATATTATGAGAAGTAATTATTTTTTAGGTACACATACAAATAAATTTTAATCGTTTATAAAAAAGTTATTTAATTGATGTTACAGTGTGATATGTAATGAGTGATAAGCAGACTGCACCTATTTTGCCACCCCTTAATGGGGGTGGAGGAAACAATGGGGGAGGCAATGGAGGTGCACCACAACAAACTGTTAGTTTGCAACAAGTTCTTGCCAGTGCTCAAGGGCTTAATGTTCTCACTACAGGTGGTGGACAACAGTTTGTTATTACTTCACAGGTTCCTGGCCTTGCACAGGTACATATTGATTTAATTTTCATTAGGTTCATGTGAAATAATCGTTGTAAAAAATTGCATAAACTTTCATTTGTATTATAGGTCATACCGAGCAGTGCAACAACAAATTCTAATATTCAACAAGTTGGTGTTACAAGACTTGTTAATATTAGTGGTACACCGCCACGTGCAAGTACTGTGGGAGTTGCAAGTGCAAGTGGTTCACCTCTTGCCTCTCCATCTCGTCAGAATTCACCTAAAGTTGTTTTAGCAACATCTCCAAAACTTGTAAGAACTTCTATTGGAAATATGTTTGTTGCACCAACATCTCAAGCCTCAATGCAATCACCGCCAGCAAGGAAGAAGTTGAAGTTAGCAGATTCCACTGAAAAACCTATTATGTGCGCTATTGATGCAACAGGCTACAGGAGAAGAATTATGGAACACAAAATGAAAAGAATGCGTGCAATAAGGGAAAAATATGCCGACAATGCATCAGAGCTGTTTTTTCTTCATGCTGGAGGCAACATGATGGATTTCCAAACCTGGAGGAAGAGACCGCCAACACCTCAGTATCTGCATTTTTTACGACAACATAGATTAGATCCAGAAGACGACGACGAAGATTTAACAGTACCACTGCCAACAATATCAGAAATTCCTTTAACTGCAACTGTAACAGCAACAGTCTCTACAATAGTTCCTGTGAGTCAGTGTGCAGAAGTAAAAATCTCTGGTATGAATGTTACACCAGTTGCAGTATCCACAACATTGCCTGCTGCAGTAGCTCAACTCAATCAACAAGGTAAGAAGACAATTGCTATACATGTATTTGTAACTAATTGAATAATATAGAATCATTTGACAGTAGTTAACAGTTAATTCAACAATACTATTTTATATATAGCATGAATCATATTTCCCAAAGTAGTGGGTGGCATACCATTACATTTATTGCCACAAACAGTATAGAAATTGTGAAATAGATTATGATCGTATATAAATTATTAAAGGTTAACAGAAGAAAGTTGAGTAAATTATAGTACCCTACCTGCCAATAATCGTAATCTTACTGTTAAAGTTTTTGGTAGAAGCATACATGAAACTGTGGAAAAACAATAGAAAATTTAGTATGCATTTTACATCAACTGAATAATTGTATGCATAATAGGACACGTACCAGGTAGGCCTCAAGGGGGCCGCCATGGCATGGTGTTTGCCTTCAGAGCAGCAATTCAATCTTCACCAGTCACCGTTCACTCTCCACCTACTTCTACTCTAGCACCCGCGCTCATTATAGGTGATTACTGCAGGCATATCATTTGATGTCTAGATCAATCAATTTTTGTTTACAGTTCTTTTAAATACTTCTTCTTGAAAATTATTTTTAATAGTCATATATATATTTTTCAATGCTTGTTGTGTGTTACATGAAAAAATGATCAAGCTTAAATAAAACACGAGCATTGATACAAGAATTACAATCAACAAAACTATTTACTGACTAAAAAGGCACGAAATACTACCTTGCCTTATTAATGGGAAATAGTAAATATAATACAACGAAATTTAACAATGATGTAGTTATGCATGTTGCTTCTGAAATTACAAAGAATAGTTACTTCTGTTTACATAAAAAATAGTAGGGTACTTTTCTCCTAGCTCATATTCCATAAGCCTAGCTTATATCCACCACCCCACAATTAATTCTGAGAGTGATTATTTCTTTGATAAAATTGTTTATTGTGTTTATATTATATTCATCTTTAAGTTCGTAGTTTATGTTCTGTGGTATCAGATCTTTGTTAATGTGGTAGAATATTTTTTCATATAGTCCCACACTAGACGGCTGTGTCAAGCTTATCTATCTTGAGACAGTCTACTCTGTGTGGGAAAATCAATTCGCAGCATTTGTAAGGTTGTTTAGCAGTACGCTTTTCGGCCCAAGGGCGCTGTTGATACAGATATTCTTGATTTTTGAAGTTGAACCAGACGTCTTTGTACAATAGACAGTACAATAGACATCTGTGTATTAACAATTTTATGTATGTATTGAATTGTTTTCCTTGTCATTACAGGGAGTGCACCACTCGTTCCAGGCTCACCGAAACAAATAACAACAACAACAGCTACAACAACAACAACAACAACAGCAGCAGCAGCAGCAGTAGCAGCATCTCCAGTTGCAGACAAATTGTCTACAACAGCTGCAACTATTACAACAACTAGTACCACTACTACTGCAACTGTAACAGTTACTTCTACTCTCACTCCTACACTTACTGCAACTGTAACTACTACAATAGCAAAAACATCTACTGCGCCTACTATTAGCCCCTCTCAGCCTGTTGTTAAACTTGTTAAATTACCTGTCTCTAATTCAACAACAAGTGATATCACAAATAACCAAGAACAAATTGTAGAAAAGGCTAAACAGGTGCGTCGAGTTGCGTGGACTTTTTGAACTGTGTAATATCTAAAAGGCTAGCTCTGTTAATTCATGAATATGATTTGCAGGAAGCATATGTAATGCAAAGGATTGCCGAGTTGCAACGTGAAGGATTGTGGTCGGAAAGAAGATTGCCTAAGGTTCAGGAACCAGCTCGTACAAAGGCTCATTGGGATTACTTATTGGAGGAAATGGTTTGGTTAGCTGCTGACTTCGCCCAAGAACGAAAGTGGAAGAAAGCTGCGGCGAAAAAATGCGCGCGCATGGTTCAGAAATACTTCCAGGAAAAAGCAATACAAGCACAAAAAGCTGAGAAGTCTCAAGAACTTAGGCTAAAGAAGATTGCTAGTTTTATTGCTAAAGAAATCAAAACTTTCTGGACAAACGTCGAAAAGGTAGTGTTTTTTTTTATGCTTATAAATATGTAAATTTACGCTTGACCCCACACTATTAAGCCGGCAGTTTCAGTGTATCCTAATTGAAAATGTGAGCTCGTTGTGGGAACAGCAAAGTCTGCTAATTGTGTATGGTTGTATTGATTATGTGGATGCAATCAAAGAATTATTGCGGGACACTTGTTTGATGATCTTTAAACTATTGTTCCTGTAAAAAGATTACTGAAAAACGCGTATCTTATTCTTCCCTTTCTTTTAAGTTGGTGGAGTATAAACAACAAACACGGCTCGAAGAAAAAAGAAAACAAGCATTAGATCAACATTTAAATTTTATTGTTGGACAAACTGAGAAATATTCGACATGGTTAACAGAAGGACTTAATAAAACTGATGGCCCACAAAGTATACCAGCCTCCATGAATAGTTCACGAATATCCTCTCCAATTCCACCTGGAAAATCTCATTCTGACGGTAAGTCAATCAGATTTGATGCTTTACTAAATTATCTCAGTGATACTGATGCATAATAATTGCGTTTTTTAATTCAGAGGACTTCCAACCAAACCAAAGTTCAGATGACGACGAAGAAACTATAGCTAAGGCAGAAGAGGAATTAAAGTCTGTAACAAACCACAAAGAAGAGGTTGAATTATTAAAGAGAGAATCGGAAATTCCATTAGAAGATCTTTTGAAAGATTTGCCACCCAATTACTTAGAAGATAGAAATAAAAATTTGTCACCTTCAAAAGAAATTGCGCAGGAAGTATGTATAGAAAATTGCAACTATTGAATTAGAATTCTCATTATATTTACAGTTAGTGCTAATGATCAATTTTTATAATTATTAAAATAGGATAACGATGAAAAGGCAGTAGATGGTGATACAGATTTTGTTGCTGCGTCAGACGAATCCTCGGATGAAGAAGAAACTATAATGGAACAAGAGAAATTGGAAGAAAATACAGATTATAAACAAGAATTGGATGATCTCAAAGTACATAACTTTTTAATGTTACAAAAGAAAGTAATGAATCTTCTTGTATACAAATTTAGTTCTTTCAGGCTGAAAATGAAATGTCTATCGATGAACTTATGGCTAAATATGGCAATATATCGGACGTTCCAATGGATGTTGATCAAGAGCCTGGTCAAGGTATGTAACGAATATTTATTATATCACATTACTTTTATTTTCTACAATACCTATACTTCAGTGATGACACTTTACCATTCCTGACGGTTCAAGTAATGGTTTTCATTTCTTGAATCCCACTCCTTGATGTAATTTGAGGCATTTGTCTGAGATACTAGATGTACTTGAAATAATGTGTAAAGTATTATTATCGATAACGACTAATGTGTGCAATCTTCTTCATTTAGAATCGGATAAAGAAAGCACAAAAGAAGAGGAAGGTCAAGAGAATGACGAGGAGTGTACTAGTAGTGAAAATGAAAGTGAAGAAAGTAGTAATGAAGTTGGCGAACAAGAGTCTCAAACGCAAAGCGATAACGAAGCCGATGTTGGTCTTAAATCTCTCTTAGAAGATATATCTATAGAAAAATCTACAACTGACAAGGTGAAACAATATATTCAACTATTATCTAATAATATCCGGTTTAGGTGAGGACAAATTTTGACATATTTGTAATATTTTAAAGACTGCAGAAATGGATCATTCAGATGCTCACAACGAAATGGATAACGTCGCCGCTTTGGCAGAAAGCATTCAACCCAAGGGGAATACTTTACTGACTACTAGTGTAAGTTTTCTTAAATAGTATCATTTGTATAGTTGAGAATCGAGAAGGCCTTTCAATCCAAAGTTGTGTGAAAGTTCTTTACGCATGACTATTTCTGAAAGGTAGAGCAAAGTGATATTCTTCTTTGTAAAATAAATTGCACTGTTGATTTATTTTGAAAAGATTATTACGACAATTTTTGTAAATTAGACTAATTAGAATCGAACTTACGTTTTAATTTCCTAATGTTGCGTAAATCATATTCCAGGTTGTTACTAAAATTCCATTCCTTTTAAAACATTCTCTCCGAGAATATCAGCACATAGGATTGGATTGGCTTGTTACAATGTACGACAGAAAACTAAACGGTATTTTGGCAGACGAAATGGGTTTGGGTAAAACCATACAAACTATTGCTTTACTCGCACATTTGGCATGCGAAAAAGGTAATTGGGGCCCACATCTTATAATAGTACCAACCTCTGTAATGCTTAATTGGGAAATGGAGTGCAAGAAATGGTGTCCCGGTTTTAAGATTCTGACTTACTATGGAACACAAAAAGAAAGAAAGCAGAAAAGGACAGGTAATATTTTGTATGTTTAATAGATTCGACAGATATCTAAAAATGCAGCGTGTATAATACTTTACATTTCTTAGGTTGGACAAAACCCAATGCTTTTCACATTTGCATAACATCATATAAACTGGTCATTCAGGATCATCAAAGCTTTAGAAGAAAAAAGTGGAAATACCTTATATTGGATGAAGCTCAAAACATTAAAAATTTTAAATCACAAAGATGGCAGTTGCTATTGAATTTTCAAACGCAACGGTGAATATTTGGAATGTTTTACAAATATTACGTATATTGTAACCGTGTTTTATTGTATTTATTTCTTTTTACAGACGTTTGCTGCTTACCGGCACCCCTCTTCAAAATAATCTTATGGAACTGTGGTCTCTAATGCATTTTTTAATGCCTAATGTCTTTCAGTCACACAGAGAATTCAAAGAATGGTTTAGTAACCCTGTTACGGGAATGATCGAAGGAAACAGTGAATACAATGAAAACATTATTCGTCGTCTGCATAAGGTCTGTACGTAGTCTGTCATCGTATTCATGTTTTTACATATTTTATTATTCGCTACCGACCCAGACACATGATAATATATCGTGTGTCTGTTTTATAAACATAGCGAAATATTAAGTCTCTTTTAAAACTCGCGTGTCAGAATATATCTGGTATGACATACGAATCCTGTCTGGAGAAACATTTCTACTTCTATTTTCCTAAAATAGTATAGTGTATTTTATTCGTGTTATTTATCTAGAAATTGTATATTTTCAGGTTTTACGGCCATTCTTACTACGAAGATTAAAGACAGAAGTAGAAAAACAGTTGCCTAAAAAATACGAACATGTTGTTATATGCCGATTATCAAAACGGCAGCGATATCTATACGATGATTTCATGTCGAGGGCAAAGTAAGCATTGCGTCCATCTTCATATCCAATTTTTTCATTTTTAATGCCAGCTTGTATAACTGTTTCCTTTTTCTTTCTATAAGGACAAAAGAGACTTTGGCCAGCGGTAATCTATTAAGCGTCATCAATGTATTAATGCAACTGCGTAAAGTGTGTAACCATCCAAACTTATTTGAAGTAAGACCAACAGTGTCGCCATTTCAAATGGACGCTATTGAATATGTTACAGCTTCGTTAATATGGAGTGCTCTGGAATACGATCCATTTAAGGTAAACATTAAGTACTTTTTTCCCCTTATTTAAGCAATTGACCTTTCAAGATCTGAAAATAAGAATAACGTATGTATCTTACAGCATATCGACTTATCTAGTCTGAATCTTCTTTTGTGCGATTTGGAGTTAACCCATACTGCGTTTGTGGCTCATAGAGTAAGGCGATTACAAACACCCCGAAAGCTTATTGAAGAAATAGATAGTCAACCAGACCCACCTCCAAGATGTCCACCTGGAAAAATAAAAATTAATGTTAGACTGTCTAATCAAGCTAAACCACCATCCACTCCGCAGCAGACTCCATCGAAATTAAAAAACTTGACTGGAATATTACCCACTACAAGGGTTGGAACGTCCCCTTTGATAAAAACATTAAACAATCAAAGCACTACAGGGCAAGGTAAATTACGATTAGCACTGCAGATATTTAGATCTTTATGATTGGTTTGTTATGCGTTTACAATTATTTTGTCAATGTTTACAGGCGTTACCTTAAGGGTATCAGGTGGTCAACAATTACAGGGATATTCGGTACAATTGGTTCAGCATCAGGGTAGTGTAAAAGGTAATGACTCTTTACTTAAACGCTTTATTCATATGTATGTGTTACATTCAGTTCTAAACTCTTGGTCCCTTTGCATCATCGATCAGTGGTTACACTCAACCATCGCTGTGTAATTACTCTTGCAGTGGTGCTAAAGAAATCGATCTCTCATGCCAGCTTGTTTATATCATTCTCCCCTGTTATAAACGTTCTAGAATCGAGAGCACATTAACAAAAACTTATATTTGAGTATATTGTATTATATGTAATTCACAATTTGTGTAAAAACATCTGTTGTGTTTGCTTCGAAAATAGCCATTCCTGTTGGAACACTAGCACATAACCCACAAAGTACAACAGTGACATCAACTACAGCAGCAACGAATGCACAGAAGATTACAGTAGGGAATGCAAATATCAAAGATGGACTGCAACGATTAACCACGCAGACAGTCACAGTTAAACAAGGTGATTCCGTCCAAAGAATAGCAGTGCCTAGTTTTGCACAGCTGGTTCAAACATCTACTGGTAGACATATCATTCTGACTTCGAATCAGCAAAACACTAACACAGGTTTGTCCCATGAATGCTCGTATCCCACTGACCCCTCATTTGTGATCTATGTTCAAGCAGTGTGTGCACCACTTCCTTCTTCATGTCATTTATGCACATCATTGAATGAATGTTGTTTAAAATAATACCTTAATAAACAATGCATGATCACGAATAATGTCTCCTTATGTTTGTGACAAAAAAGTTTCTACAGTAATTTTGCCTTATTTGTATTGGAACTTGTAATAATACATATATCTAACATACTGTTACGTTTGCAGTTTCGTTTCCAGTAATGACGCCCGGCGGACAGCGCTTAACAGTTTTATCTAAATCTCTGATGGGCCTATCTACTTCGGCAGCCACGGTGAATAAAGTTGTAGGAGGAGTAGTAACTACAGCAACGAGTGGTACAAGTGGAAGACCAGTAATGAGAGTACCACCGTTGAACGTGACTGCTTCTCAGACGCAGCCATCCGCTGGCAATGGACAATCTCCACAGCAATCGATTCGTTGCGGTATTGTTACTAGACACGCACAAAAAGAATCTGAAAAGGCACAAATGAAGGAACGTCCAAAGTCCGAATTTTATTTGGTAATTGTCTTCTGTTCAACGATATTATAGTTTGTCTATGAATTTCCTGTCTGCACCTTATATTCATGCGCGAACGAAATATTTTCTTGCAGCCGCAATTAGAGGAAGAACGAAAGCAAAGGAGACAAGCCAAACTCCGTCTTATTGCGAATATTAATGAAAGAAGATGCGCAGCATGTCCTTTATACGGTGAAGATTTATTCATGGCATTGAGAATTGGAAAACCGTCTACAGCGTGTCGATGGCACAATGGTTGGGTTCATTGCACGAACGCTAAAGACAGTCCACGCACGCGTAGACAATTCTTTTCTCGTACAGAAGCGCTTGCGGAGGCAATTAAAAGTACAGAACAAATCGTTGAAGAGCTTAAGGAAGTTTTTGAAAGGTACGGCCCAATAGTGGAATTAAGAAAATGCTAAATGCGTTTCCACAATTCCTTACTTATACTTTATGTTGTATAATTGCATTGTTACAGGTTTGTTGTACATGTTCCTGCTGTGTGTGCACCCACGCCACGTTTTCATGTTTCACATCCACCTCCACATAAACTATACGATCAAAGGCGTATGCAGACTGAGCTGCAACGTCAACTGTCGCCGAAATTCGCGTTGTTCCATCCAGTAACTAGTGCAATGATGACTCAATTCCCAGATCCCCGATTGATACAGTACGATTGCGGGAAACTACAATCCTTGGATCGACTTCTCAGAAAGCTTAAAACGGGCAACCATCGAGTCTTAATTTTTACACAAATGACGAGAATGTTAGACGTGTTAGAAGCTTTTCTTAATTTCCATGGCCATATATATTTACGTTTAGATGGTACAACCAGGGTAGATCAACGACAGGTAATAATCGCTTACTACCAACGTTTTCATTGATTTTTTAACAGTCGATTTAATGTTTTTTTTTTTTTCCTAAAAATGTAGGTTCTTATGGAGAGATTCAACGGCGACAAACGAATATTCTGTTTTATATTGTCGACGAGATCCGGAGGTGTGGGTGTAAATCTTACAGGTGCTGACACTGTTATATTCTATGACAGCGATTGGAATCCCACTATGGATGCCCAAGCGCAAGATAGGTGTCATAGAATAGGTCAAACACGGGATGTACATATCTACAGGTGTGTATGAAGAAACCAGTGTGCCTCGTTTGCGAAGACATTTCAAATTATAATACTTGATTTTACAATTTTAGGTTAGTAAGTGAAAAAACCGTAGAAGAAAATATTCTAAAGAAGGCAAATCAGAAGAGATTGCTCGGAGATTTAGCTATCGAGGGTGGCAATTTCACAACTGCATACTTCAAGAGCGTAAGTATTAGATATAAAAATCGTCTCCGATCATAGTATACGCGTTGTTTTATACATGATTTATGAATGATTTACCGTTACGTATCCACAGTCTACTATCCAAGATCTTTTCAATATTGACCAAACGGAGAACGATGCGTCTATGCGAATGGCTGAAGTGTTAGAACAGAACAAAGACCGTGAGAAGTTTCTACAGAAAGACAGTCAGGGACAGGGTGTGGATGACAAAGCGGCGATTGGTGCACTGGAAAGTGCTCTCGCTGCCGCTGAAGAGGACCTTGATGTTCAAGCGGCGAAAACTGCCAAAGCTGAGGCTGTTGCCGATTTGGCAGAGTTCGACGAGAATATACCTTTAGATGAGGCGGATAAGGATGATGTGCAAGTCAGTAAGGCTGAACTTGAAGTGCAAAATCTGGTATCACAGGTAAGCCTGGAATTACGATTCTTTATTCGCGTGAACATAAACGTTTAAAATATCGCAGTTCGTAATCGTGTGTTTTATTGAAATAACTTTTTCTGCGTTCAGCTCACGCCCATAGAACGTTACGCGATGAAGTTTGTGGAAGAGTCGGAGGGTGCTTTTTCCGCGGCGCAGCTCGCAGCAGCGGAGCGAGAGTTGGAGGAACAGAAAAAAGAGTGGGAGTTGGATCGACTGCGAGCATTGCGTGAGGAGGAAGAGAGGCGAATGAGGTTGGCCGACGATGACGAAAAACCCTTAACATTCGGACGCGAGGACGCGCAGAATCAGGTTAATAATGCTAGTAATTCTAAGAAGTTAGTCAGTAAGAAACTGCCGGCGAATAGGAGGAGGAGGTCGCGTAGGAATAATAGTAAGAGTGCCCAGGAGTCGGAAAGTGAGAGCGATACTACCACAGAATCGGAATCAGAGTCTCAAGAGGACGTGGTAGAAGACAGTCTTGACGAGGAATCGAGTCATACAGAGAGTCAGAGTCAAGGGGACGAGGATGATGAGGAGGAGGATGAAACAAACGATCAAAACGATTCTGAGCGAGGGGGGTATCCGAAGCGTAAAAACCGTTCGAATAATAAATCTTTCAGTCAAAATCATTTCGATTTGAACAGTCCGCGAACGAGATCCAGAGGAAACGTGAAGATAAATCTGTGGACGTTGGACGTGAGTCCGATCTTGCCAGGTATAAAACCGAAGTGTCGGGGCAGAGCTAGTAATATCCGTAAGCAGAGGGAGTTGGAGATGAGAATGAAGGCGGAACAAAGTTTCGCACTACCATTGCCACCACCCACTTCGAGTCCAAAACGATTGAACACTACTAATAAGCCTGACGATGAGCAGAGTACTATAAATCCGAAAGGACAATTGCCAGAACTGAAATTGACTAAGGTGGACGTCAAATTTTCTGCTAGCAAAGATTCAACCAGGACTGTTGAGAATTATAAAACGATCGGAAATCATTGCGTCGTCGCGGCATCGTCGCTAAAGACAAAATTGAAAAAAAACACAGACGTGACAGATGAATCTGATTCTGTTGTACGTTTAGATTCTTTAGATACAGAAGCGTGTATTCGAGTGGCTGGATCGGTATCCAGCGTGCGGGAAGAACGTAAAATTATGGAATTTATCACGATCGATACGAAAGTTGACGACGAAGAGGAGATACAGACGAAGTGTAACAATACAGACGAAGAAAGTTGTGAAGAGGACCCAGAAAATCCTGATGTAAGTTTTGTTTCACAGAATCATAGCTCTTGTTCTACCGTGGCAGAGTCGGGTACGTTAAAAATGATGTCTGACTCGGATCTATCCGAAGAAATCAACGTGTCAGAAAATTCATTGTCAACTCCGTTAAAGAATAAAATAATAATTCGGGAAGTAGACGAATCTACCGCGAAATCGGTCGCAGATAAAACAAGCGGTTCTGTTTCAAAAAATTTAGTCACTGAAATAACAGACGAACGATCAGAGGCAACAGAAAGTGAAATTGTAGACGTGAGCGTCGACGCGGAAAGCAACGAGAGGCCGCGAAGTCCGAACAATCTCAAGGAAAAGGTGAACATAGAACAAACGTTACCAAATAAGGAACAATCAAGTAAAAATTTAAATTCGGACGCAAAGGACGACTCGATCAACGGTAACGTGTCCATTTCTGTGATAGAAACAAGCTCTAGTCAGGAGACCGGCAACAATGAACAACAAGGAACTTGTGCTGAATCGAACGACGAAGAAACAAAATTTGAGTTGATGCAAAGTAACGACAATAAACCAGCAGAATCTTACACGGACATTCTTGAATCCAATGAGACGACTGAATCTGATCCTAGTTTAGAGAGTAAGCTGAAATTTCGTAAGCCAGGCATAATATCTCATGGAGTAACTACGAGAAGAGCAAAAATAAATGTGATGGTTGAAAATGCTGAAAGCAAAGACACGGATACTCGAGCAAGTTCTACTGAATCGAATATACCAAAGCAAAATCAAGAGAGTGAAAATTTAAGTATTAGTAAGAAGGAAGTAGCGATTAAGGTAGCCTGGATAAGAAGACCCGACACACCAAGGCCTGTTACAGAACAGGGCAGAATTACGAGATCCAGTGCTGGGCGTTCATTAACTCCACCGCCCAGCAGTAGTCCCTCAAAATCTGTCCAAAGAAGACAACCAGACACTCCTTTGGCAGATTGTTTAAAAACCTCTCCCAGGCCAGTAACCAGATCATCGTCTAATGTAAATTCCCCGGTACGAAACGAGGAGCAGCATGCATCTTACGAAAAACCAACCACGCGAAGTTCCAAGTCTTTAGATAACGGTTTTCTAAATCCTGCTCAGTTTCGAAGAAGTAGTTCGATACCGCCAATGAAATCGTCGGATATGAAGGACGTCTGTGGTCATACTACCAAGTCGAAAAAGTCCAACGAGTCTCCAGTTGTAAACGCAAGTATTATAAAACGACGACCGGACACACCGGTTCCTACTTTCGAACAGGTGGCGAGAGTTACCCGGTCTGGGTTAAATTTTACTCTAAATCCAGGAAAGTCCAGTCCCAATCACGTATCTCCTCTGAGAGGAAACAAACACGTCCGGAAGACAGATTCGTCTGGCGACACAAAAGCACAGGAGTCGTCACCTACGAAGGCAGAAACACTGAGTACAGATTCAAACGGAAACGCAGTTGCGTCCGAAGACTTAACGAAACAGGATGACTCGAGTTTCACGGAGATGAACGAGAAACCACAACGAACGGCCAAGGTGGTCGCGATTCTTACGTTGGATACTCGAAGCAATCACACTGGCAAGACCTCAGGCTCTGTTCATCCGAAGGCTAATTGTAATTCTACCGACACTAAGAATACTAACAAGAAGGGTACAGACTCGAGTACATCCGATTCACCGGGGAAAAATTGTCTTCTCAGGATCTCGGACGTTACCACGAGTTGTAAGTTGGATGGATGGTGTAGTTCTGGATTGGACAACGCTTCTACGGTACTCACCGGCGTAGCAAGTACTTACACGTCCGGAAAAACGGGGAAATCGTCGACCGCGAATAAAGGTGGATCTCCGTTGAGTTCGAAACTTAAAACGGACAAGGTTCCGTTGCCTATGCAGTCAGCGGTGATCGCGCTGGTCGATCTGGACAACGATCCGAATTACGACTCGGCGGACGGGTCGAAAAGATTACGGCGGAAAATGAAAAGGACTCGATTGACATCGTTCTCGAAGTCGTTGTCGTCCGGTAAAGCGAACGAGTCGCAAACGGTCGACACGTTGGACGAAGAAGAGGAAGAAGACGAACAGATCCCACCGTCGAAGAAGTCAGTTCGTTCTCAGCATCCGTCTCCTCCTTCTTCTTCGTCTCCTCCTCCTGCTTCGCAAACAGCGCAATTGGGAAAGATAAGCAGCGGCACCGTGTCTTGAGTCTCGCTGAAACTGTATCGCTGTAATATTTAGCAGCACGTTTGTATAAATATTCCTTCGGCGTGCTTACCGTACACGGCGTTGACACGCCTTCGGACCGCTCACTCGGGGCGGCTGTGTACGCATCATCCAAGTTTACTTGCATTGATTTCTTTTTCTTTTTTTCCCCTTTCTTTCTTTCTTTCTTTTTTTTTTTTTTTTTTTTTCCCCTTTTTTTTTTTTTTTTTTTTTTTTTTTTTTTTTTTTTTAATTTCGCGCTATCATCAAATCCATGTTGTAAATATATCTAACACTAATCGATGAAGGTAAATTTGTGGAAAGAAAAACCGAAAAAGTGAGACGTTTCTTTCGTTGTACCGAGTACACACGTGTAATATTTTTAGTATTGTAAATTTGTGCTCTCCTCTAAAGGTTTTTCGCGAATGTCTTTAAGTGACATTGTAATTTATACACTTGGTGATATAAGCATAGAGATTGGAGGAGTGAGACACCCCGACTGTATCATATTAGGTGATAGTTAAACGAGAACTCATACACACAGCAATTACACATTTAGATTTAGCACGTTAGGCGACGCCGCAAATTGTTGGCCCCCCCACCCCAGTACTCCCCCTTCCCCTACATGCAATTGTTTGCGGCGTTCGATGATATAAAAGAAACAAATACGATTGGAGAATAGACAGTCGATTCAGAAGTAACAGGAACACAACAGAGAAACAAAACAAGTAATACTGTGAATGCGCCGTACTTTGCTCTCGTGTAACGCCTTGTATATTACATAAACTCACAAGGTGACGACCTGATTGCATCGCTAGACTTAAGGAGTTATTCGTTTAATGGTATGCCCCACTGTAATATTTAAGTTGCGTGCCTGTATTTTGTATGATCGAGTGATTCCGAGGAAGGAAATAAACAAAATATTCCTTGCTACGAAGATACGATGTGTTCTCTTATTTCTTGGTGCGTTTCCAAGTCTGTTCGATCAAAGGTTCAGTTCCGTTTTGGTGTCAAATTTTGCTCAGTGTGCTTGGTTATATACGCAGAATACAAACTAGTATCAAGATCATCTTATCGCTGATCTTGCATTCTCGCGATGTTTGGTGTGGCAAGGCTAACATGACCGCACATTAAAGAAAATATAACGGAGGAAAAAGAAAATGTCTGTTTTTTTTTTTTCTTGTATGACACTTAGACGATGTAGCATGCAATAGATGAAAGCTCCAAAAATAATGATTTCGAAAATGGCACCAAAACACTGCCTTTGCCATTCCAAACTTGGAGTCAGCCAAGGTATAAGCAGGCACATTATTGAGCGTCTTGCACAACGTTTACGATACGTGTGAGAAATAATAATTACTTAGGCGGGATCGAAATATCTGAGATCTTCAAAGAGACGAATGAGCCTTTGAACGAGCAAAGTGTAACTGCACTTCTTCCTATTCATTTCCTAAGACATTCCAAGATCATAGTACGTTTGTTCAGCATTGTATTCTGTTGGGACGTTCATTTACGCAGAAGATTTATGAAGATGTTAACAAACGAATGGAGATACTAATTATTTTTACACTTCATCGGCATTATATAAAGTTACATACGGTGTACACGACGACCTCGACTTAGATCTCATAGTAGTACTTTAATATCTTACAGATATGGTTGTCGGACGATAATATGGAGCAGATGCCGGTTAGTATATACGCTAATTACGATTTAATTTTCTTCCGAGAGTGTGGCTACGTAATTATTTTAATCGTTAGATGTGGTGCCCACCAACACCTCCAACGACGGATAACGATGTTTACATCGACTACTCGTTGGGATTCCTTTATGAGAACACCCCTATGTCGGAGGCCCAGTTACCACCAGTATACATTAAAAAGGAACAAAAAAGGAGTAGGGCTGATGCCGGAATTAGCGATCGTGATGGTAATGTATCAGACATATGCGACATTATTTTCTCGAATGATAATGTAGTAAACTTAATCGTTTCCGCAGGACGACGCGCGGTTAAAATGCGACACAAAGAAGAGTCTGTTTACGCGCCGAGATCATTGTTTGATCGGCCATCACCGGCGCTCATGAAAATGCGTCGTGATATGAAATTGCACAAGCATCGTGCAATTGTTCGTCCACCGATTCCACTACCAGGCATAAAGCCGTCGCACGTATCGAAATCTTCTACAGATCAAGAGCATGTCTTAGATTGGATGATACACGAAGACTGGGCCCTCCTTCAAGCAATTCAGATCTATCAAGGATTGCCGTTGAATCTAATGATTTTGTCGCCTGGACACACGCCCAATTGGGATCTGGTTGCAGACATAGTGAACAATACTTCTCGGATATACAGGTCCCCCAAACAGTGTAGAAGCAGATACGAATCGGTTATAGTACCGAGAGAAGAAGGGAAGTTACTCTACGATACCACACCGAAAAAACAAAAGAAACAGAAAGGCGTTTATAAGATGCCTCAAGTGTCCGAGGTATATCACGATCTTTCTATTGTATGTTTTAAGTGGACTGTTCGCTGGTTAAAAATACTCATAATGTTTCTGTTCGTCTTCTTTTAGCAACAAAGTAAAACTAACAGACCAATGAAAACCTCCCAGTTATATAATCAGGATAAAAATCATTCGTTTACGTTAATGTGCTGTCAGAGGTTCGATACCATAAAATCTGTGTCCAATAAGAGAACACCCACCGTTAAACCGTTACTTGTTAATCCGTTGATGAAGAACCCTACCAACGCAGCAGTTTTAGCTGAATGTGGCATTCAGTATGATAATCCATTAGCCCCCATAGAAGTTGCGACAAGGCGTGCTGATAGGATCGCGAAGGAAAAACTTAAGCATGCTGTGAGTATAATGGAATGTTTAAATTTATTTATTGGAATCATGGCATACTTCATAACATGCGCATTTCTTGCATACTTAGGTATTAACGGCTGAACAGCAGCAACAAGTAGCCGCTCGGTTACTGCAACAGCAACAGCAGCAGCAGCAGCAACAGCAAGCTCAACAACAGCAAGCTCAACAACAACAACAGCAGCAGCAGCAGCAGCAACAACAAGCGCAACAACAACAGCAGCAGCAGATTAAACTACAACAACAACAACAAGCACAGCAAACTATATCCAGTATCAGTAGTCCCCAAGTGCATCAGTTGACTCAGGTCGTCACTACTGTTGCAACGACAGGGTTGACAACTATGAAAACAGTTACAACTATGACGACAAACGTTACCACATGCGGCACAACGGTTGCTGCTTCGACAGTCAAAACTCGGCCAGGTGTAACATTGACCATGCAAGATGCAAGGACAACACCGACGGTTGTTAGCGTAGCCAATCTTCAAGCTGCCCAAAGAATTGCAACCGCGAGTTTAGTGTCCGCTGCACAGAATTCGCCGGCAGCCACTCAAAAGGGTATTGTTGGGGTCACCGTGGCAACTGCTTCTGGTAGTAAAACGCTGACTGCTGCACAACTACAATATTACAGACAACAACAAGTTCTTCTGCGACAACAGCAGTTGAAGGTATTGCAGGCACAGGCTGCGAGTGGTCAGAAAGTATCGGTGGCGGTTTCTGCTGCTGCCGCACAGCAGAGAGCTACGTTGATGAAACAGGGTCTAGCTGCTGGCACTGTTACTCAAGCGTCTGTTGGAAAGCAGACCGTGGCACGCACGGTATCAGAAACTGAGATGGCCGCCCTGATCAAGCGACAAGCGTTGCAACAGCAAGCGAAAGCCGTAGCTCAGGTACAAGTACCTGCGCAAGCCGGTCTCACGCCGGCACAAATATTCGCACAAGCTGGTTTACAAGTACAGCAAGCCGGAACTTCCGCTAGTGGCACGCCTGTCGCTACTTTGGTGAAAGCTGCGAACGTTGGTGTCCGTACCGCGACACCTCAGCAAATCCGTCAACTTGCTCTGCATCCCCAAATTATCACTCAAAGAAAATTGCCGGCGCAAAAGGTGGCTCAGCTGACGCAAGTCGCTGCCAAAACTGGCGTTCAGACACAACTTATCGTGCAGCAGAAATCCCTGCCGGCGACCATGACTGTGCAACAGATACAACAAGTGATGAAGCATGTTCAACCATCAGCGATGCAACAGTTTGCACATGTCCGTGAGAACTATTCATTTTGCTTCGTTCTCTCACAGTTTCAAATGCGTCATATGATATGTTATTATTTCAGGTGTCTACTGGACAAGCGGTTTCTCAACCAGGGCAAGTGGTTTTGGCGAAATCCTCGTTGCAGACGCGAGTAATTCCGGTCGCGTCAGCTGCCTTGAAACAAACGATTCAAGTCGTGACCGCAAGCAGCGCGCAATTGCGACAAGCTGCGCCTGCCCAAGGGAAACCAATTGTCACAACTGCGAGAGGTAGTCCGGGGCCTAGTCAAGTTAGATTACAGACTATCACGCATTCTGTTCACCCCCAACAAGTACAACAGCAACAGCAGCAGCAACAACCACAAACTCAACAAGATGCTCAACCGAAGTGAATGCGCTTGATAATTGTTTCTCGTGTCGATTAAGGATTATGATGTTGTTTGTTCAAATTCACACCGATTGAAAGAAAGAACGTTGAAATGGAGACTCAATGGTGGGACGTATCAAATCAATGATAACATTCCAAAAGATATTATACGTATTTATGACTACAATTATCTCGATCTTCATTAGAATCAGTCTTTGATTTTTTTTACATAGTACATTGACTGCAATATTCGTGCAAGTAATGCCTTTGACGTCTATGTTGTGAGAAGTACCTTTTTTTTTTAAAATAATTTAATATTCTGTTCGCGAAGTGTGATGCATTGAAATGATCGGTAACATTTTCATAATTTGATCAGTATTGATATGATCCAGTTTTATCATTTTATCGTCTTTCAAAATTTGCTGGCCGAATTTGTGCATAATAGTAATAACTTGCAGGAATTCTGTTACACATCATTATGTTTCGTCAGTTATGAGATAGCATTACTATAGGGTTGTTATAGCATTATTTGCAACGTCATATATGTTTATCAATTGCCAGTGACACGGTTGACGATTGCGAAAATATGTATAGATCAATAATCAACTATCCTCGAATGTATTGAGAGAAGATTCAACTGTAGTGTCTGTGAGATACTTGTCTATGTCCGGCGGGTTGCTCTGTCGATACGTGTGTGTACAGCGACGCTTTACGTAATGGAAAAAGACGTTACTCACATATAGTTGAAGGTAGTTTGAGCGATTAGTTGATTAGCTTTGAATTTTGATGCTTTTACTGTTTGAGGCCATTTTGTGAAACTTGTGTGTCGTTGGGAAATTGTTTTGCGTTGCTGTAAATGAATAATACGTACACTATGTATCACATGATACATGGGTATCATGAGTAACATCTTGTACAACTCTTGATAAAAGTAGATCTAATAATCGCGAATCGTTAAAATATTTTTATCGTTATCGAAAAATATATTTTTTGCCGTAAATATTAAATCTTCTATCTGCAAACCTCAAACAGCCAGAACTACGTGTATCAGAGTCGTAAATGCTGCAAAATAGCGACCTACTTATCATTCTAATTTCTTCAAAATTATAACCCGAGTCACAGAATAATTTGCTTTCTAAGATCCATAAGATTTCGACGATATTAGATTTTTAGTACTGGAGGATGTGACTTCGATTAAGGAGTATATGTTTCGATTTTAATATCTTACTTCGCGTGAAACGATTAAGTATTTTACAGAAGGTGTCTTTTTTTTTTTTTGACTTTACAAATATTAGTACGAAACAATTTAGCCTCGAAAAATACGCTTAACTTGTCAATATACTTGAAGGATGAAAGAAACGAAGAGTATGTATCTATAGTTACCTGTAGGATTTAAAAATTTCGTTCGACGATGCGGTGTTTATACTAGGATCTTTATCGAATTGTGTAAGATTGTACTAATAATAATATATAAATATATATAAATATGTATAATTCGTGTATCATAGACTCTAAAATAAATCTCTCGTAAGTAATCTTCTATATTTTATAAATTCTACAAAAAATTGAGTCATTATTTCAAGTACGTATAGTGTACTTTGATACTTGCATTCAGAGAAAATGGAGTTAAAAAATATTCTATGCATTATTCAGTATTACACAAGCTACTAAAAATCTTCTGTGCACGTGTGATTTTCGATACATGTTATCTAGTATCTCTAAAACACCATTATTACAACTTGCGGGAATTTATAAAAAGCAATGTATGGGTCACAAGTGCTGAATCATTAATCTTCAAAGCAAGAGAGGTCTTCATCTCCGATAAATATTAGATAGCAGCATGAAAAAACTGAGAGAATAGTATCACAGCGTATTGCGTGTATATGAGCTACTCAAATGTCTGTACTTATATAAGTCTATAAATGTCCAATTGAAATCAGTGTTGCAGAGAATCTGGATACGCCAAGTCCTTAGCAGTTGATGATGGCGTTAATTGCACTTATTGTGAATTTTCTTTTTGCTGTTACTGCCATTTGGGTGATTTTCTACCTGTATACGAGATACAACCATACCTACTGGAAGAGACTGGGCATTCCTTCGTTGCGGACACACTGGTTCTATGGTAATTTAGAGGATGGAATACTGTTTCGAAAATCTCCATCAGTTGTAGTTGGTGAATTACACCTTGAAGCTCCTGAAAGCGACGTGTTAGGAATCTACATTCTACAGAAGCCCTTCTTACTGGTGAGAAATCCGGAACTAATCAAGCAGATTTTAGTCAAAGACTTCAATGTTTTCCCGGATCGTTTCTTCACCGCTGAATCCCGTTCCGATAAGATCGGTAGTTCGAATCTGTTCACGATCAAGAACCCGGAATGGAGACAGTTGAGGTATAAAGTTTATTAAACCAAGTTAAATGGTAATTGGTTAATACAATGAATTCGTAGTTTCACATTGATTGAAATAATGTGTTCATTAGGACCAAGATAACGCCAGTGTTTACAAGTGGAAAAATGAAAAAGCTATTTTACTTAATAATTGAAACCGCGGATACGATGAAGAACTATTTGCATGATGAATTTTCCGATGGGACAAAAACGAAGACTATGTTGATGAAAGATGTTACAATGAAGTACACCACAAATATTATATCTTCGGTTGCTTTTGGAGTCTGTGTAAATTCTTTCGATACTAACAATAATGAATTCTTCCGAAGAGGTATGCATATGAAAGTGCCTGGTATCAATATTATAGGGATTTTCTTAATTTCTTTATTATTTCTTTAAAGCGCAAAAGGGATTAAGACAGACGTTTTTTGGTGGCCTCCAGTTATCCATTATGTTCTTCTTCCCGTATATTTCGTCGTTTATGGGCAAAAAAATATTAGGTAGTGCGACGGACTACTTACGTAAAGTGTTTTGGGATTCCATGGATAATAGAGAGATAACAAAAACCAAAAGAGGGGACTTAATTGATTCTCTAATTGAGCTGAAGAATAATAAACAAGAGAACGATTATAGTTAGTGAAAATCTGTTAATTTTCTATAATGTAACTGTCATCTATTATTTCTTCAACGAACAATAATTTGGTTACAGAGTTGAAGGGTGATGTCTTGGTAAGTCAAGCAGCTATTTTCTTCATTGCTGGTCGCGAATCCAGCGTGGCCACAATGTGTTTTGCCTTATTTGAACTTGCTCGGAACCCAGGTTTACAAAAACGGGCACGAAATGAAATTCTCCAGATATTGGAAACCCAAGAACTGACTTACGAAAGTATTCAGAACATGAAGTACGTTAATCAAGTAATTTCAGAAATTTTAAGAATGTATCCGCCAGCTCCAATTCTGGATCGAGTGGCCACTTCGAATTACAAGGTGCACAAGATTTAAGAAAAGCGTAATTAAACCTTAATCTTGTATTACGCTCACGTATGAGTAATTGAACATACACAGCACGCATGATGACATATTTAATAAGACGTAGTAATTGACCATGACCATGAATAGTGTTCGTTTACTGAGATTATCTAACACCTGCGCGTACATATGTATAAACAAAAGGCCTGTCACTCTTTTTTTTTTTTTGAGACACTGAAATGGTTGGTATTTTGGAAATTAAATCTGCTTTCTCATGTTTTGTAGATACCTGGTACTGATATGATTATAGAAAAAGGAACACCAATATATGTGCCTTTGTACGGTCTTCATCGGGATCCGAAATTTTATTCTACACCGGATCGTTTCGATCCCGATAGATTTAGCGACGAAAATAAGGGTAATATTAAACAATGCACATATATGCCTTTCGGAGAAGGTCCCCGAATTTGTATCGGTAAGAATATTATTCTTTATGTATCTACTAAGATAGAATCTTCGGTTTTCTAGTACAATTTTAATGTTTTTACTGTTAACCAAAATGTAGGTTTACGACTTGGTACAATGCAGTCTATCATGGGAGTAATCACAGTCCTTAAGGATTATGAAGTTTCGTTAGACCCTACATTTAAGTATGAAATCGAGCGCAGTAATGTTTTCCTTACAGTACCAGACGGATTTAGATTAAATTTAACAAAACTGTAAGAATCGTTCCAATGTTCAGAACAAATAGTTTCTTGTGAATTGTAAATAATGACACTATACAATCCCAAATTAAGAAACACCATAATTAATAAAATATGACAAATATATTTCCTTCTATGTACACACAAATTTTCAGTGTTATGATACAGAATCTTGTAAAAGCCGTGTATTACCATCGTTTTATTTCGGTAGTAACGCTAAATACTTTTTAAATTCAGGGATCACGCATTCTCGTGGATTTAATGGCGTTCGCGTAGTTAGATGATCACTCAGGTATTGTGGCATGAAGCAAAGGATACCTTTACTCGCCAACATTGCCCAATCGATTGGTTGACTTACTTGTTTGGCGTTAACGAAACAATGAGTGATCTTTTTCCCTTTTGGACTTGTGTCATACGGTGGTCTGAAACGAAGCTTATTAATGTATTCTATACTTAATGTATTCTAAACTGAATGTGTTCTATAACAAATGGGTTTACCTTGCCTGAACAACTTTACCACCTCCAGTTTCAACCAGTCTTCTAAACTGATCATACTTTTCCCCTGTAGCTAATATCAACGCCACCATGTTGTGAAATGGGCCGTTTGGTTCCTTTAATAATTTAAGTCTCCATTTATGAGCAGCGGCCGCGATCATCTCTTCGACTTCTGCAGCAGGATCCGGTATCACACCTTTGCTTTTCGGATTCCCCCACTCATATTTTTCTTCCTGTTAATAATGATATTAAATTATTTATAGAGATAGTGTTATGTACTAAAGGTATTGTGACATCGTATTAGATAATAATCAATAAGAAATACCGACATCAAGAAATTTTCCTTCTTGTTCGCAATCTTGCAAGTACATACAATGCAATATCCACTTCCCTGACGCAATGCTACCTAGCATTTTTTCATTTCTAGACGGTCTCATACAAAGCAAATGCGTTGCACTCATGTCGAAACTAGCGTCTAACGATACGTCGCCACCAAGGTCTTTTATTACTTGCTCACATGCTGTTCTATCCTGTTAAAAAATATGTTAAAAAGACGTACTATATCTATAATTGTAACTATTGCAACATACCCTTATACCAGAAAGCATAAATCTCAATTTTTTTGGAGGGCTTGGTTCTTTTGGCTGTTCTTCTTCCTCTTCTACTTCATTTTCTACTGTGTGGCTATTATGCGCAGCACTTTCACTCTGTTCATCGTAGATTGTTTTCTACGAATGTACGTATCAGTAAAACCGATATCACGGACGTTAGTTAATCAAAGTAGAAGATCTTACTTGTTTTGAGTGACTTGGGTCTTCCCATACAATAGCATCAATGGGTTGAGAGTCTTTTACAATAACTGTAAAGAATATATGATAGATAAACTATTAGATGGTAAGAATAAGATAAAGCATACTTACATTTTTGTATAGGATCAGACGGTTCTGCGTTATATGTGTTTGCATTTTCTCCAGAGAGAGAATACCTATTTTCAGGTGTACTTGACGTCCTTTGAAGTACTTGATCCAATTGGGCAATTTGCCTATAATGGAAACGCAGTGGTCGATAATTCTTAGAATTACTTCAATTATAAGATTGTGGCGATGTAAACACTAACTTACATATTAATTTCATTATTTTGCAGTGGACTATTTTCATTGGCAAACTGCAATTTTCTATTAATAGGTGTAGTTATGGGAACTTCACTATAATTTTTTCTGGCTTCAGGAGTTTCTGGTGCTGATGGTTGAGTACTGTCGGTATGCAATGTCTCATTTTCATCCTCCTATTATATTGAAACAGCTTGAAATTCTCATAAACATGTAAATATATTGCACGATTATACTCAGATAATTACAAACACTTACGCTTTCATTCTGGCCTTGATTTTTCAACTTTTGCCACAGTTGTTTTTTTAATTCGGAAAGAGGCTATAAATCCAATCATGTTAAAATGAATAACATGCTTGATACATAATGAAAAACGTAAATAAATACATACAGTACTAAGTGCCCTTCGTTTTAAGGGAGGTTCCTCTACCCGTAAGTCTGGGAAATTGTCAACCCATTTGACCCAACCTTTCCTTGTGTCTGGCGAGGGGTTTGATTTAAACACTTGACCATAGGGTGTTTCTGGCGTGGACACATGAAACGGCGATTGTGGTGTCTTATTCATAAGCAAGCTGAGTCTTTTATTTATTAGCGGAGTCTCGCCGGAACTACCCTCTTGACTCTACAGTAAGATTTAAATAATACCTGATGATGTGTTTCTATACTATAGATAGATGAATTGTACTTACCTGTAAATTCGGTAAATGACGCTTTGGAGTAATAATGTTTCTAGCTGATGATTCAGTTGGAGGACACATTTCACCGACATTAGACTTAGATGTACTTGTATTCGTGGTACTAGTTTCATTTGGCCTTTCAGGAGCTACAATTAAATAATATAAAAATTCATGCACGTATTTGTAGGAATTATAATAATGTTTTAGTAAACTATTACATACCTATAGTTTCTCCTACAAGATATGGGGTTTCATCAACGCGTTTTGATTGAACTGCACAAGCCTTTAACCAATCAGCAGTAACAGCTGGTAATTTCCATTTCACTGCTGCATTGTATTTGTTCCCTTCCGGCGTTGGACAGACCAAATGTGTACTTCCATAAGTGTTTCTTTCAAGGTTGGTTTTACGTACAAAGATATCTTGACACCTACAATGAATAATGTTACAATATGTTGTTTACCGCGGCTATTTTTTAACAATAAAAAAATAATACATTGCTCCCAATTTTGTAGCTAATGTTGCAAGGTACGTTCGTTCTACACCAGTATACATGCTCATTGTGATAACGCAGCCCGATAATGGATTTGAATGTTTCTTTATAGACAAAGGTCTATGATAATACATGATTTCAATAATTAATTCCTGGTTTACACAGTCTTCCTATAAAATAGTTTGCCAGTTAAGTAATCTGTAATCATACGATTTTGGAATGCAAATATGACACTTACAATAAACAGATCGGTAACAATTTCATTCACGGTATGTTTCAACGGTGCACCACATTTTGGTACAACGCCATAGTCTGGGATACCAGCAAACGAGCTTGTAACAATTTGCCCACCCATTGCTGCAATAGTTTCTGCCACATAACTATCTTTTTCGGTAAAGCCAGTTACGACGAACGTGTGTCCTGCACATAGTATCAATTTACAACTGTTCATACCTTCATGTTTACATGAAGTCGCTAAACATGTACATAGCATTACCTTCAAATAGCCTATCATTTAGAGTCGACGTTTGACTAATTGGTACTGCGCTGTCATCTGCACCATATTTGCTTTTAAGTGTATCAGATGGGAGCATATTTTCTGACTGCCTTGCTACACTTTTACGATCATTGATCAATGTTTTATCATTATTCTCTTCCACTGTAGGTGTATGTGGTTTGAGAAATTCTTGTATAGTTTTTTCACTTGTTGCAACTAGATTAAATATAAAAAGTGAATTACTGACTTGAATCTTTTTCTTCTAAAATTATACAAGTTATTGTTCTTTGATAACATTACCAACTGTGTCTTGAAGATACTGCTGTACAAGATCAGACTCTCTTTCTTTCTTTAACATTGCCATTTTTTTATCTATGTCGAAAGATGGTATCGGAACTTTTTTCGGTTTTTGCAACATTTGTAAATTCTGAAATATATATAAGTTTCAAATATTTGTGTCTTTGTTGGATATACTGCATACCTACTCTCTTGCTTAATGGAGATGGCGGTTCTGGAACTTTTTGTACTATGTTATTTTGTTGTTCAAACAAATAATTTTCCTCTGGTGCAGGTCGTTTCAGTTTGATACTTTCAGCCAACCATTCCAAAGTTAAAATATAAGGACTATATAAAATGTTTAGAATATTAGAATATAAAATAGAAGGTTTAAAAGTCTGTAATAGCATACCATAATCCTTTTGATTTCATCATTCTGAGCTCACTAGTTGCTTTATTTGCATCTCCAACAATAACGTGCGTTAGAGCATCCGATATATCGTCCAGTCGTGTTGCGCTGCCTACATTTAATATTTTATTAAGCTTGTCTCTTTGATTGGACGCAATTCCAGCAAGATAAATCTGAAAAGATGAAGGACCAATTAATGAAATGACAGTCTACAATGCATATGCGAATCACTTACATTGCATCCATCTAAAAATGGACCAGCCGACTTTGCTTCACTGAATGTAAGTCTATCCAATACGGCGACTGAGCTAGCTGCAAATTTAGGTAAACTTCAGACTGTTATTGAAATAGAGCACATTTCTCACAATTTATTACTAACCATTACTATCCCTAGATAAAGAGTCCATGGTAGAAAAATTACTTCTTGTTGTTATTAAACTTTCGTCCACGCAATTATCTTGCTGCACATCACAAGGTATGGAACTTATAGTGGAACAATCAAATGTGTCAAATGCTACAGTATGAAGAACATTATTAATTTTTGTTCAACTGTGTCAAAATGAATAAACCAGAATATTTTTACCATGTGATTTCTCCGGAGTGGAACACGCTTTTAACGATTTAATCAGGAAATCTTTAAAAGGCAATGCATAGCCCACTTTTACACTTTCGTACACCCAATTTGGTGTTAAACACGCAATGTTTGCTTGTTTTGCATACTTCAGTTTTTCGCTTATTGGACTCTTTTCAGGTGCAAGTACAACTTTAACTTTTGAACCATCTAAAGCACCCATAAATGTCTGAAAGGACAGTAATATAAATAAATGCTAAAAATTTGGGACTACAACAGAGAAATTATATATTTTACCCCTCCATGATTATTAATTAATTGTTTAATTTCTTCTTTTTGGCGTTTTGGAAGATTTGTTGATGTTACTATCAAATTCAGGAAGACGGAAGCTTTATATTTGTCAAACATGCTGTCATCGGCTTTAACGAATTCCTTTAAATTTATGTCCCAAATTGCTTCAACCCATTCCTTTGTAACTATTGGTATTTTTAGATCTATAGCAGTCTGTTGGAAAAGATCAATGATAAAGAATTACTGTTTCCATTGTAATATGTTAATAAGCTTACCTCATATTTTGCTGACATCACAGATCCTGTTACAAGATGTGTTACACGGCTGCGTAATTGTTTTGTGAAAATACCACCCATATACTCCACCAATTTTTCTATATATTCCTGTAAATATTTTTAGATTGTTAAGTACTTGGAATAGCGTATAAACAATGACATATCAAAGACATACTTTTTCTTGTGGAGGTAAACCTGAAGCACATATACAAAGTCCCCTCATAGTTGTTGTATACACTGGACTTGTACCTTCTGGAATTGGTTCCCCATTCATGAAGCAAAGTAACAAGCATCTTGGGCCAACTACTCTGTAGAAATTAATGAATATTCAATATGACATAACAATAGTCTTAAAGAATATGTAATGGTCACCATTATATGCAAATTTTATGGCAATTGGTTTTACTCACGGACACTTAAATGTCTTCAGTTTCTCAAATGTATCACCTTTAAACTCCTCCATTATAAAGACATCATTTTTAACAGGTTTCATACTATTACACTTCTTCTCATGAACCCAAATTGGTTGTAAGTCATGCTCACAACATTTCTGAAATGGTAATTAATTAAACTATGTTCTTTCTGTTGTTTAAATATGCATACAAAGTTAAAGATTCATATACTAACATTATATGCATGCCACATATCTTCAACACAATTATCTTCAGTCTTGTACTTGCTAGGCACAACAAAATAAAGATTTACATCCGGATCAATTTGACTCTCTTCATTTACCATGTTGGTAAAAAATGATGACTATCACTTTTATTTGAAGAAAGGAAACTGTAGGTAAATAGTATTTTCTTGATACTTATTCAATATATATCCTATTAACACAAAAAAACAAAAAATATGTAACTATTACTCCATTATACATATTACAAAGCTTTAGTAAATGAATTAGGCCATAGGATTGATTTTAGATTGCGTTATAATAATATATAAATTAATTACATACATAAAAAGTGTTATCAATCCAGGTAATGATTAATTAGTTACAATGACATTATGCTCACTTTCATAATTCAGGGATAGGTTAGTTAGGCCTCTTACATGAATAAATATTGGGGATCTTATTGATTCTATAAGAATGTTGAATAGAAATGTATTTTAACTATGTGCTAATTCGTACTATAAAAGTCAATAAACTACTGAATTTAATAGTGTCATTAAATGAACAGATCTGTCTAACAGAAATTCTCGCGCCTAAAGCTATATACGTAGCCCTCTTACTATTTCAGTGTCAATACCCGACGTTACCAAGAAAGCATGAATTCTGAGTATTAGAAGCACAAATGGATCATTATATATTTTATTCATATTACGTGTATCCAATATGATTTGGTGGGAATAAAAATATTCCATGCTTCGGTTTAAAGGATGAATATAATACTGATGAAATATGACGCGCGAAAGTATATATTTGTTCACTTATCTATAAGATAACTTATTCTAAATGCATCGTTAATGGACATTGTAGTAATGCTAGACGTTCTTTTTTTATTCATTTTTATATTTTTTTTTATTTGATAACGTGATATAAAAATCTTAATAGGTACATTCAATTACCTTCTGGCAATTGGTAAGGGAGTAATTAAATAATGAACTTCGACTCAACTAGAGCTCAGCTAGTCAAGCTTTCTCCATAAAAAATAGTTTTTATTAATTATTTAATTGGAATATCTGTCAGATTGTATTTCATAAACTTTGGCGCCATTGTCAAATTGGCGGGATATATTTTTCACAGATGGCGTTCGAGAACCACTGGAGGATTGAAAACTTCGGCAGAAGACGGCAGCAAAGTTAATATTTTCCATCTAAAACCTATTGGAATATCATATTTTCGGTGATAGTGTGTGCCTCTTTGTTTCCCTTTCATGATAGTCATTCCCTCCTGAATTAATCTCGGGTGCATATAAGAAAAATGTATTGAAATATAATTTGGCGGTAAATATTCTATTTCGTTCAAATAGAACGTGGACGAGCAGAGAGACGACCAATCCTCACATTCTTCACCAACCGACGCACCAATCACAGGCCTCATACATAACCGAATCAACCAATGATAGCCAGTAAGCCAGCCTAACGGTCATTCGTCTCAGGGGAGCTGGACCGATTAGACGTGTAGTGATCTCGCTCGTGGCGAAGTAAGTATTATTACTTTTCGCTTTAAATTCTTTATGTTATTAGTATCTTCGTTAGCACTCTATCGTTACTTTCGTTTAATATCTATACAATTCACTCTAAATAATCGTAAATTATCTCGTTATTGCTGGATAAAGTGAACTGGTTTCACGATTTCTGTTCTCCTCCGGTACCAATTAGTATTTACGCAGTTTTTGTTTAATTTGCAACCTTTAGCGACACTCCTCGAGTCAATAATTGTTTTGTTGTGATTCAGTCATTGTTAATTTAGTATAATTACTTGGTATTAACGTGTATTTTCTGTTTTAGAATTCCGGCTAGAAAGGACGCGCCAACGATGCCAATCCCATTAGACGCAATTTGGCGGGAAGTAGGTGAATTCTGGTGATGTATTACAACAAAATAGTTTATATTCCACTACATGTTTTTATTTTAGTACACTTTTACTGTTTTGACCGTAAACTTGAACGCGATTTTCTGATTAACTGTGCTGAAAGCAAACAAGAATTTTTTCGAGAAATATTTCGCGTTCAAACGCACAATTGAAGCATTCAAAATGGCTTCTTTTTTGACCATTAGGAAATTTAAACGGGAATATTCCAGAAGTTTCAATTCGAAATACTCGTAGTTTACTGCATCTCGGTCGCGAAATCGTTTCAATTTTAATAATTTTTCGAGTTTATCATTATGATGTTATCGTATTTGTATTTATATATGGTTTCAGTTGTAAGTTTAATTATACATATAGAAGCTGCGTAGTTTACGATGCTCATAGAAGCTTACGTAAATAACGAAGCTTTAATACTTGCAACGATTTTCTCAATATTTATAAAATTCGGTACGCGATGTAGACAGAAATAACGAACATTCTTAACTCTAACAACAAATGTCTTTAATATAATATATTAATAACAAATATATATCAGTAATGAATGTAATATATTGAAACATTTGAAAATTATTTTAGAATATTTTTTAACAATGGTACCTTTGCGTAGTTAAATTCATATTTGAATATTTATCGTTGAATGACAGTATTTTCATAATATAAACACTTGGTAGTATATCAAAATAAAAAGGATAAGCCGGTGCACGTGCGCCGTATTGTATTTCTTTTCCCCCCTTTTTTCCACAGTATTTGGTGGCCGCGTGCAAGACGGTCGAGTCGAGTCAGTGTTTGTTTACATCGAAGTTTTTTCTGTTTATGCGGAGCAAACTGGCCCCGATTAGAATCTCAGCGGAGTGTTATGATCTTCGCGAAAAGTAGAGTCAGTGTTTGTTGCGTACAATCTCAAATTACTTTCAGAGTTTCGGGACAGTCTTCTTTGCTTTTTGAGCCGCGAAACTAGTAATTTGTTCGTCGTCTGTGTCTTCGGTCGCAATAGTCTTTTATTTTCATTTTTTGCTACTTGAAAGTACTCGTTCGCGAAAGTAGAGTCAGTGCATCACCGAAGAGGATGTTTTTGGGCAAAGCTCTACAAATAGAGATTGTAAGTATCCTTATATTTTATTTCTTACACTGTTTAACTGAAACAGCTAGAATTTCGAGAAGAGGTTATAACGAGTTCTGTTCCATTTTTGCAGATTTATCAGATGCTGCATGAATGTCCACTACAGTGGATGTCCTCGGACGAAGCTACACCATTTTTTGAGATTCTTCGAGTGTCATAGGGAGCTCTTCAGTCATCGGGTGAGTGCATGTTTTTATTCCTCCAGTTCCCAATCATGTCGTAGGATGATTGGTCCGAAACGGCACGGGCGACTGGTTGTATACGTGCTTTTGGCGAGTACAGTGAACACGGATATGCAATCCTACGATTGCATATCCGCGAGTAGTAACATTCATGTGTTGTGTTTCTTAGTTAGGTTATGGTCTTCTTGTACGCCGCGTTTATTATTAGTAATATAATTCATAACTATTTTGTATTAAAAGAGTATGAGTTGAATATTTTATGTTCGGCTTAAAGGCGAACATCATACAGACGAAATCACATTGGTTATGATGTACTTTCTTTAAGTGTTCAATTTAACACGAGATATTAATCTTTGATATTTCAATAGAGATCATTCTATTGCTTAAACAGTTGTTATTTTTTCATTAATTGAGTATATATTGAGAACGTGGTAGTATGTTATTTATTTCCCTAGAAAATGCAGTAGTGTGATGATGATATGTGCAATAATTTCAGTATAGTCATTTTAATACAATCGTTTGATATCATTTATGAATGTAAAACGAAATACGATCTATGTAAGGAAAATTGCAGAATATAGAAAATACAATGTATTCACAATAGTCTATAAATAACGGTCAGCTGATTAAAAGAATAATATTCAATTTATTAATGTGTGAAATAAATATCAACGGTAGATTCGAATATAGAGTAGAAAGAACAGAAACCACACCGGTATGTTTAAAATAGAGGGGAAAACGTAGACGTTGTGTATGTATGACCATTGAAAAGTGCATTGCGATTTCCAGTTATCGTGGCCGGTGTTTTCATTGCCAATGGCAAAGAACGCATACGGTTACGTACACGGGTAGAGTACCGAGACGTACTGGCGTGTACTCACGACCACTTCAATGGAGTGTGAGCGTTAAATGTAGGGAAGGTACTACTGTGTTTCACGAGCATGTAGTGTTCCATAAACATATTAGTATGGTAGACGTATAAACTCAGAAGGAATGAGTATTTGTATTCTGTCCTTTAAAAAAGGGCAGACCCAGAGGTGTCCATCTACTCTTGCGAGCAGCATTCTTTCCCTCCGGAGGTACCCTGACTATGGGACTTGGATTGACTCGCTCGAGTCAATCTGAGGTCGGTAATTAGGGAAACCTACGAGGGGAAGCTTGTAATTGCTTGTAGCTCGTGGGCGGCATTTGGACACCTTTGGTATTGGAGTTAATTTTTATGGTAGTTACTATTTAATAACATTTTATTCCACCTATTAGTCTGTTAATTATTATTTTCAACAGTTATACCGTCATTTGTAGACAAATAACTAAATGAATGTAACTTAAATTTATTTACTATTTGAATACAGTATATAATATATCAGTTTACTGTGAAGAAGTTTTGAGATTAATATTTTTGTCTTCATTGATAGTTTTAATAGAAATAAGAATATTCATGAAGCATCATTGAGAATATGCAATTCTAGATTAACAGTTTGTACTGAATTATATCAGAAATACGTACTACCACGTTGCTCGAAAACAGAAATGAAAATTAATTAGTGTATTTTGATATACATGGATGAAGCTAAAACGTAACGTTCTGGATAAATATGATATTACAGACCATGTACAAGAAGGCGTTTCGCGACGGGTAGATTTCTGCGTCAAAGTGACATGTTTGTTACATTTATGTTATGTCTTATATTGACTTTGATGACGGGATCGCCCGAGGGTTATTCAATACATAGAGTCACTTATCTAATTGCAGAGTCTTGCTTAGAGTCTTCATAACTAAATTCTACAATATTAATAAATAGTCAATCTTTGATTTTCAATTTTTATTAATACAAAGTCGAGTCACGTTTATTGCAAAATGAAATGAATAAGAATCAAAGAGAAGTAGCCCGTTGCAGCA